GATAGATTGACTATGGCTGCTTTTTTGGCTCTGTTCAACTTGATATCATGCGCAGCGATGTCCCATTCGATCTCGCCGGCGGCATGCTTGCCAGGTCCTATGGTATCGAGATATGACGCGATATGCAGCAGGAGCTCTGTGGGAAGATCGCACACCTTCGCCATCGCAGCTCGATATGACACGACTGGATTAAGGTCAAGAAATCGGGAAGGCGACGCGTGGAATGGTGTGTATAGGTATTGTACATGCGTAAGTTTCGTCTACAGCTTCAAAGAATACGAAAGTGGTAGAATGGATATATGCCAGAAAATGAAAGAATCTTCGAAGTTCGCAGACTGCTAAAAACCTAGAGGCTAAGCTAGCGGTGGATAGCCATTAACCCATACAGGTTGCGGGTAGAATAAGTACCTTTGTGACAACGCAAAGCGCTCTCGGGGGGCAGAAAGGTATTAGATCGGGAAGATGACGATCATGAGAGTGGCACAAAAGTTTTCGAGGTGGCCATGTCTTCTATCTGGACATTCATTATATACGTACAAGAAGTTTAACCCACTTGTGGGTTCCATCTGCGGCCTCAACGGCGATAATCTGATCCTCTTAGAGCGTTGATTACGCGAAGCCTTTCAACAATGAATTTCAATTCTTCTTGGATTTTAGTCAAACGCTCGTAAGAATTCTCCTGTCTCGGGGGAGCGCAACGAGGGTACCATGGCATGATGGGCATGCACGTAAGCAGATTCACTGGACCGGAGCCCGACTCCATCTGCTACCTCTAGAGCTACCAAAGCTGGGGATGCTGATCCACGTAAACAGCAGCCACGCCAATTTCCCGAAATCTCTCCCTGGAATAATCCATTTTTTTAAAGCCCGCATAAAACCCCACCTCTTTGAGGGTTGGATATCTGGATTCGCAGTTCTCTGCTAGCCAGATGAGCTCTTGCTCAGGGAAGTCTTCGACGTGTAACCGCTCCAAGGATGCCGGCAACATTCCGATGACTGTGTTGCACACTTCGGATCTGCCGGTCTCGTCGTGAATCAGGGTGAGTGCGGGTTGCACAAACTTCGCATCTAGCCAGAGGTTTTGAAGTTTGGAAAAGTTACTGAACGTTCGGCCGTGCGCTTCTATTGTAATGTTCCATTTCGGTAGTCTCAATGGCAATTGTCCGTAGAGTTGCTGCTCGCTCGGAGAGGGCCGTTGAAAGGGAGACCATCAAGTCGTTCTGGTCGATCAAATTGAATGTGATGTCCGTATCCAGGCATACGAACCTTTCAAGGCATTTGGCAAATTCAACCATCTCGGCGAGATCGTCATAATCAATCGTAACGTCATCGAAGACGAGTGAGGTTATGTTGGCCTCGAAAATGGTTGTTGGCTGAGAAAAGTGTAGAAAGTCGCTCCAACTTTGAACATAAATATCTGAAACGTTGGGAGCCGCCTCGAACAAGACGTCCCAGGTTTTGGGGGCGTAAGGATCCCAATGAAGGTCATAAGAAAGATCAGCTGAATCGTTGCTGCGCACAGCGTCCTCCAGAGTGATGGACTCCAGCGATGGGAAGCGAGTAGAAAAGGAACCGAATAAGATAAGGTGGCTGTGTACCAGAGTATGATCGGACACGGAGAGAGTGAGGTCGGTGAGGTGAGTTAACCGGCTCAACACGAGCCCCGCAGCCCAGATGATGTACTTCGAGTTGCGTATTGTGGGGTTCTCGATAGCTATCTAACAGAGCTAAGTATGATGCGTGACTACCTTCAAGCACCTCCTCATCTTCGGAGAGTCGGGGTAAGTCGGGGGATAGGAGATACGCCATATTGTTCAGGGCGATGCGATCCGGACTGTCTTCTATCTGTATTTGAAGAACAAACTCCTTGATTGAGTTGCTGATAGTAGGATTGTTGTGCAAGACACGGAAAAGATCGATGAGCTGATTAGCCGCATAATCACCGTGAATACTGATAACTCGGTATGATTCCTCAAATAGAAGGTGACGCCAGGTCTTGTTAACGATAGAGAGGTTAAAAAGGGAAGCTCGAGCCTCTCGAATGGTTTCCGAGGCCTCGCGAACGCATTGATGGCGAGTTTTCAATATTGTTTGCCTGGTCGATTGGGTGGAGTTCCCCGGCTGGTTGACTCGAAGAAGAGAAGCTATATGAAGCAAGAGCTCCACAGAGAGGTCGGAAAATTGCGCCATGGCGATCTTCCAGGAGCTAGTCGAGCTTCCGGAGTGGTAAGGCCCTACAGTGAGGTTTGAAGCCGCGATGGCAATCAACACAACATTTCACACCCACTGGGTCCATTTATGTCACGCCGCTGTCTATGTATATAGCCGAACACAGGGATGGGGCTAGTCATGTGACTCCATGAAAATAAGCGTCACCAGAAAAGTTCTGCAATTCGTGTGGATACTTTTAGCTAACGGGGTGAAGTACTACACTGCAATTGCTACATAATTGTCATTGTGTTGCTGTTGTTGTCACTGCTGTTTCCACTGTCATCCTAGACCGAAAACGATGCGTCAGCCAAAATTCCAGTCTTTTTCAGGAGATTGCTAGCCACTTTCGAGTCGTATGCTTATTTAAGTCCTAAGTCATATTCATCCATAAATGCCGACAATAATTTGACTCAGACTAACGGAAAACCTTTTTATTGACACAAATGCCTTGGGGGTTTGTTTCGTCTCAGCTGTGCTATTCACATTGACGGTCTCCCACCTCAAAGAGTGCATATTGATGGCGTCCAGTATTGAATCTCTGCTCCAGTATGATTCATTCCCGGGTAATTTTCGAAATATGCCATGTCTTTCCCGTTTTTGTTTTAAGCATGTCCTGGGATTCCTTCGTCTTTCGTCTTTAGCTCTTCACATAGCGGACCCCTCAGCGTAGAGCTCTGCTACCAAAGTTGGGGATACGGATCCACAGGAACGATAGCAACGCCAGCGTCTCTCAATTGTTGTACGAGAGGACGCATTCTTGCAGAATTAACATACGTCGCATCTAATCCCAATTCTTTCAGCTTCGGTAACCAGGACTTGCAGTTCGATGCTAGCCAGCTGAGGTCTTCATCGGTGGGTTTCCCCTCGAGGTGCAGCCGCTCCAAGGGGGCCGGCAGATGTTTGAGAATTCTGCCTTGCAGGGGTTCCGTACTTCCGTAACCTTCATCGCGCGGAGGTTTGCTGAAATCCACATCTAACCAAAGGTTTTGAAGTTTTCGGAACTTCCTGAATGAGGAAGGGCCAAACAATACCGCTGGAAGCTCATGTACGGAGGGAAGGCAAATGGTATGTAGAGTTGCAGCTAGTTCAGAGAGGAGAGTCATCAACGGCACTGGGTCATCCTCCTCGGCAGTGTCGAGGACCTCCACTCCGAGTAGACTTTCATCAAACCCAATAGCTGCTCGTCTGCAAACGAACTTTCCGAGATTTGAGAAATCTTGGAGCTTCATTTGCAAATCGTGATAGTAAATCTCAACTTCGTTAAGCACGAGTGAGGTTAAAGTTTTGCCGGAGCTATTTGCTTCTTGCTCGAAGAATCCATCAAAACTCTCAAACTTGTGAAGGAAAACATCCGACACATCTGGAGCGCTTTCGAGCAAACTGTCCCATATGCAAGGAGCCGGAAAGGTCCATCCCGCTTCGTTGAAAGTAAGACCAGCGTCTGCAATAGTCAAAGACTGTAGAGATGGAAATCCAATGGTTCCTGCGCCAAATATAATGGTTTTTCCATATGCGAGGGTGTGTTCAGGGATAGCGAGAGTGAGGTGTGTGAGGTGATCCAAGCCGTGGAATACCAGCGCCGTAGCCCAGGGTATGTATTTCGAATTCCTCACTGCCGTTGGTTGTTCCGCATAAACCCTTTCCAGTTTCCTGTGATACCCGTTTAGACTCGTATTACCACGGAAAATTCGGAGGATCTCAGGCCTCATGAGAAAGGCCATATTCCTGATTGATATTCGACTCGTGTCATCATTAAGGTCGAAGTGAAGAATAAGTTCCTTGACGAAGCCGCTGATTCTAGGGTTGTTATGTACAATCCGAACCAGGCTGATGAGCTGGTTGGCCGCATCTGGACCGTGGATGCTGACGACTCGCCAGGCCTCCTCGTAGTATAATCGATGGCAAATTTTGTTCACACAAGAAAAACTGGAAAAGGAAGCCTGGGCCTCCCGCAGGTCCCTCGCGACTTCTGAGATGCCTCCCTCGTGGGTGAGCAGTATTTCTCGCGTTGAGCCTGCTCCATTTCCCGGCTTATTGACACGAAGGTGCGAAGCTATGAGTTCCAAAAGCTCCAAAGAAAGGTCTGAGAATCGTGTCATGGTGGCTTGCAGGGAGACGCTGGGCTCTTGTAAGCCCAAGATGAGGTGTTGAGTTTGAAGTTGTAGTGAAAGTTGCGAGCGAAAGAGGGAAGCAGTTATTAGCGCACCGACTGGGTCCATATTTTGGTAGCGCTGCGATGATTGGCCGGGACTGCCCTGTAAGATGGGAGGAATCATGGCTGGTCATGTGACCCGAGGGATATGATGTCTCGATTGTCTCAAAGGAATGACCACGCAGAGATCAATTGCTTTCATTCAGAGGGCTGCTGAGCGAAAGTTCCCATTTCGAGAGAGAATGTTGTCAAGAACAAAAACAACAAATCTAATGGCCGAATGATTCTCGAAGACTTTCCCAGCTCTAGAGATGCATTCACTTTGCATGGATTTAATCTCAAAGAACCAGGTTGTAAGTGAGAATGCGCGGGTCGAATTTCAAAACAAAGACCTTTTCACCTACTTATATTTCTAAGGCACCATCTGGAATATTCAATGTTCAAGATGCCTGTTTGGACGGAGTATGCTGGAAGCCTCGCGACTGACTTTCCAGTCATCTCAACCACCCCCTGCCTCCAAGGCCTTTACTACTTCAACTCGCTTCTCTGACATAGTTCACTGTGAGTTGCGCGTCAATTTTTCTCACCAATACCAACCAAGTTGACCTTGTTCTCCAATCCAGAACCGACGTGCACTATGGCTCAGCTTGGCGACCTTCCCCCGGAGCTCATCCTCGCCATCTTTTCTCACTTGCGGCTGGGCCTGCCAATGCATGACCTGTTCGTGTGGACCGGAGACATCGATGAGCAGGGACGAATCACTGGAGTCAAATGGAACGACCTTCTCAACTTCTCACTCTTGAACCGCCACTTCCGCCAAATTGTCTCCGACAAGCTGTACACACAGATCAGGATCCAAGGGAAGCTTCCAATCACGAGACTCGTATCGCTATTGCGGTTCGTCACAGCGCATCCCGACGCAGCTGCCGACGTGAGGCAGGTGTACATCAACCTCGATCCGGGGAGGACCGGCTCTGCATCTCTTCGACAGAATGATACATATTTAATCCAGACCGCGGCCGAAAACTCCGGAATCACATATCCTCAAGAGATCTTTCCTTGCGAAGATCAGGCCGCTGATCATTTAGCAAAGAGTCTAATCGACCTTAGAAACCCTGGCTGTCAAGAGGAGGAACACCTGCGACTCCAGGTTCTCGTCGCCATCTTGCTTGCTCATCTCCGAGGAACGTAAGAGTTGGCGCTTACCTGCCCCTACGGCATATTCAGGAATTTCGCTCGTGGTAACCTAGCTAAGCAGCGTGGCTCAGGATTCGACCCAGATGACGAAAGGGTCAGGTTCGCTGACGAGACACCGATGATTGTTGGCAAGCCCTGGCTCCCGCAGTTGTTCTCTCTTGTTACGACACATATTGCAGGCACCGAACCGTTCCGAACTATTGGATTCGAGGGGGATGAGCTTGCGAATCTTCTCTGCTTGGGCTCAAAGACCAGCCGGCTGTGTCTTGATGACGCCGGTGTGGACTTCAGACTTCAAAAGGGCCCGGTCGGGAATTGGGCGAACATTTCTCATCTCACCCTGACTACTCAGCACATAAGTATCGCAGCCATGCAGAGCATCGCCAATCACTGCAGCGCTTTGTCGACATTCAAGTACTTGCCAACAGCGTGCGAGTCATTTGGAGTGACACAATCGACACAGGCTGAGCCCGGGGAGGTAATACACGCTCTACGGAAACATGCGAACACGCTGCGCACGTTGTGCATTTCGTCCTCAGGGTACTCCCCCCGCGGTTTCCTCAGCATGCCTGTTTCTAAGCTCGATTGCTTCGTCGCCCTGGAGAATCTCTGGATTGATAACAGGACCATTACTGGGGACTTGCCTGCGGTCCAGGGGACGCTGATTAGGGTGGATCGAAGAGAAAAGCTCATCATGTCCTTACCGCCTTCTATCAAAAGACTCCATTTGCACAATGCTTCGTATGTCCCCAGCGGGGGACTCTATTGGCTTGCTGGGCACACCGAGCTTTTCCCGAACCTTGTCAGAGTTGAGTTGGACTGGCCAACGGGCGATGATTACACGCCAGAAGAGGTCATTCGGAAGCTGTTCTTGCAGGTTGGGGTGGACGCGCCGACGAGGCGAGGCATGATTCGGGACGCCCGCTTATGGGATCGGTATTTCTGAGAGCGACATAGATTGTTGCGTCGTGTGTTGCTTGCTTTTTTTGAGGCTGTTCTGAGAAAATGAAAAGGGGCCTGCAGACAGGGGCCAGCGATTCCCATAGAGGTGTGAAGTCACGTGATATCGTGCCACACTTCGCGTCTGTCACGCGCCTAGACTTTAATTAGCCACATCCCGTCCAACAACGTCACCCTTTCAATGTTCAGGAATACTGTGCCCACCGCAACAAAGCCAAAATGTCACGAAATAAGAATATGAACAAGAACAAGCGACAAAGAATCAGAAAGAGACAGAATAAAGACGCCCAAAAGCCAAACCCATCCTCACGAGCTACATCCGCAAAGTTGATCCAGAAGCAGAATCCATTCTCGCGACTGACACCGGAAATCCTCACCAATATCTGCTCTTTGCTATTTCCCACCCACCACAACCTGCAAGATGTCTTCGAAGTGGACGGCCCTGCAATTATTTACCATCGCTGGAAAGATGTGTACAACCTGTCGCTGGTCGACCGGAGGTGCCGCACAATCATCAGCCCGTTCCTGTACCGCAGCATTCCCATTCCAGGACCGCGCTCCCTCACCAAGCTGCTGTCCTTCGTGCGCTTCGTTACCGACAGGCCAACAATCGCCCAAGGCATCAAGCAGCTCTACCTCCAGCTCGAAGTCGTGAACTCAGGCGTGACAGTGCTCAGCCAGGACGATGCCAAGTGGGTGATGAAGCAGGCCGAGGAGACCGGCACTCCCTTCTGCGAATGCAAATGGCGGGACCTACCGCACAAGCAGGAGTTCGAGTGGAAGGGCACCAAACGAGCCCAGAGCCGCGTGCCCGAGAGGCCATTGAAGCGGTACACCGACGAAGTCGAGACCCGAAACTGGGACGAGTGCCAGCGCATGGAGACGCTTCTTCTGATTCTGCTGCGTCGCCTCCCCGACCTTGTCGACCTTGGTCTCGAGCACGGCAAGCGCGTGTTCTCCCACGCGTACACAGCTTTGGAGAATCAGAGGCTAGATGCGGGGGACCGCAAAAGACAAAACCTGCCACCAGTGCCGCCACGAGTGACCCTCCCCACGCTGCCAACCGTCCGATCCGTGGCCATGAAGATCAACCGTAGCGCCACCGAGTGGCAGCATGTCGACGACAAGGACGTGCGAATTCTCATGGAGATGTGTCTCAAAGCCGAGCGACTCTCCGTCGAGGAACTGAAGCCCGTAGGACGCCTTATGCCTTGGGTCAACCCGAACAACCCCCACCTGTTGCCATGGTTAAACTCTGTCCGCAAGCTCACACTGACCAACTCAAGAAGCGTCGACAGCTGGAAGGAGATGGCCGCTGTGGCCCTCTACATCCGCAGCTGCCCGGTGCTGGAGGAGTTCAGGTTCATGGCGAAATACCGCGAGACGCGCGAGGGAACGCCCCACCGGGTGCGGGTTCCGCAGGAGGCCATGCTCTTCCTCGAGAATGCTCTGACGGCGATGCATTTCTGGTGCCTGAGGACGCTCGTGCTCGACTTGCGCCACTGCACGCAGTCGGATAGGCCCCCTGCCTGGGGCCGCCTCCGCGAGTACGCCAACTTGAAACACATCTACCTGAACCTGGGGCACCGTATTCCCCAGGGAAGCTACGGCTACCGCAACAGGAATAAGATGGATCGGGAAGCTACGGAAGTGTTGAAGGCTCTACCGCCGTGCGTGCGCGTCGCCAGGCTCGCCGGCGAGTTCTGGCTGCCGAAGCCGCTGAAACGGCTCATCCGGAACCACAAGAGAGTCCCGTACCTGCATGACATCGAGGTGGAGGGGGGAGATGACAGTGACACGCTTGAGGCGATGGCTTCTTTACAAGAGAGGTTTGCGCAGTGCGGTACTGGAGGAGGGCAGCTCAGAAGTCCCCAGAGCAGCAAACCGGTTGTCGTCGGCAGTTCAGCGGCAAAGATCTGGCCGCGGCCGGTGCGGTCGGAGTGGAGGGAGGATGCCCCTGAGATCCTCAGGTGGACCAACAGGGAGATGGTCGTTTACGGGACGAGGAAATACCCGGAGCCAGGCGCGAAGCTGGTCGTGCAGAAGCGGACTACGATCCCCGCACCCAGCAAGAAGACAGAAATGCCAATGCCGGTCTGGTTGGAGTGGATGCATCCTGCCTCGGAGCCGGGCAAGGAGCCCACCCTGAGGCGGACGAACATGCCCAGCGAAACGCCCATTGCGATCTGGCCGAAGTATGAAGACGCGCCTCGCTCGGTTCGTGAAAGCATGCGAATCATAGGGGCCACGCCGGGTGGCCCGGCGGACGCGGCCCGGGCCACGAAGCGGCTTTGGGCCCTAGTGAGGCAAGCAGCGAGTTCGTTACCTCTATCATGAAGAATTTTGTATTTGAGCGCGTCCATTGTGCTTTCTGGGCGGGTTGTGGCCAAACATGACGATCGGGCCTATACCATGATGATGGTCACAAAGTTGCAAATTTCAGAGGTACCAGCAGCAGCGTAAATATATCCTACGAGATCTTGTCACTGCGAGTACCTGTTCGAAGTTGACTGTGCCATCATGTCCCTGATTATGCCTGGTTCCAGTCGAGTCGCCGGCGAGAACCCGGCCTTTTGCATGGCCACAAGGGTTGCAAAGGTCGTCCACACAGGAACCTAAACGCTTGTTCGTCTCTAATGCTGCATGGCCTCTCAGTTCAATTTACTCGGCAAGCTCTTTTGTTCCAACACAACGATTATTCCCATGTCACCGCGCCCTATCAGACTGCGCCATTCACAACAGACCTGTTCCCTCCAGCCGCCTCCCACTTCATCATCCAGGCTGTGGCTAGCATCACAGACCTCCCAGCCGAGTTGATCGACAACATCCTCGATCTCGCCACGACAGAAGTCTCAGACGACACAGCCATCGTGCGCCAACGAATCATCAACTCCCTCACGCCCACCTGCCGCAGGTTCCACGAGCTCTTCGGACACGAGCAGCACCGCGTCATCTTCCTCACCAAGAAGAACATATTCCCGCGGATGTTCAAGCTCCACCGCGTGCTGGGCTCAGCCCCACAACCACAGGTGTTCCAGAACACGACGAAGTTCGTGGTCGACTACGAAGAGGACCCGTTACTGGCGAAGAACTATAGGGATAAGGCCGGCTATGGGAAGATAGCCAAAAAGCTTGACTCTTTGAGGAGCGATACGCGTAAGGCTGGATTCAGGGGTATGGAGGATCACTGGGTTCCTGTGGATCAAGTCGGGCGCGAACTCGTTGGGCCGCATGTGCCGTTGCAGCGCGGGCATGGTCATAGGCTGGGCCTGCTGGCGCAGCTGATCCTGCTGCGGCTTCCGAACGTTGAGGGGGTGTATTTGCCGTACTGCATGATGGATCTTCTACAACCCCTGGACGTGTCGTGTACGAATGTGAAACTCCGGCAGAAATTCCCGCCTCGCCTCAAATCTCTGCGCATAACCAAAGTTGACAACGGAGATGGGCATCCTGGGATAGCCGGTATGACGCCCAGCCGGTGCGGGATCTTCGCAAAATACGGGTACATCAAGGACCTCCTCACCAGCGACCTACAAACGGGCCTCCCGCCCGCGGAGTTCATTGCATTCAGCTGGCTCACACGCCTCGTCCTCTGGCAGTGTGCCGTCATCGACCCAAACCACTTAGACCAGGCCCTGAAGCGGCTCCATAGACTGCAGACCTTCGTCTACACGGTCAAGAGCTCGCCCACTCCTAGGTGGCCTCGATACCCCATGTACGAACAGTATCTTGCGGTGCGGTTCCCCGAGACCGTGACGACGCTCTGCATCGACGCGCCGTTGGATTATTGGTTCGGGCGGTACGGACTGGCGCCGGTGTTCAACGGCCTGCAGAGGCTGGAGAACCTGTGGGTGAACGCGCACAATCTGAGCAAGTTCGGGCTGGGGAACGGGGTTGGGATTCTGGAATCGACGAGCCGGCACGATCGCAGCTACGACCGTATCGAGATTGTAGCGGCGGAAGGCGATCTGAAGTGTTTGCCGAAGTCGCTGAAGAGGCTACACATATTGGGGGAGATAGGGCGTGTTCGGGAGGATGTGAAGTGGTTGGAGGAGGCGGTGGGTAGTGGGCGGCTGCCGAATTTGAAGGAGATCGCGGTGGAGACGATAATAGAAGATGAGGACGGCCTGGAAGAGGGCTTTTGGATGCGTTATGAGGCGGATTTGTGGGGTTTGGACGGAGAGAAGCTTGAGAGGGAGGGTGTGAGGTTTTTAGATGAGGTCGACCCCAAACCATACTTGTGGTAGGATTCCGGGAGGGGTTCGAGCAAGATCTGTCATGGGGGTGAGAGCATGTCACGTCACGAGCAGAGGTTTAATGTAATCATCGTTCCTGTATTCTGGTGCGGGAATCTGTCTGTCTTTGCTATGATTTAGCCCAACGCATCTGCCAATCTTCTCAAGCCAAAGTCAACCAAACGTGACCAGATTCCAAGCAATTCCATCTCTCCAACTGTCAACATCCACACCAAGATCATAACCTAGACGAGCGCTAGACTACTACTACTTGTAGACGACTGCTTGTAGCATCCGCCGTTCTTGAAGGTGGCGGGAATACCGCAGGTGGTAGACTCGATGGCCTCCTTGACGCACTTCTCGTTGCTGTCGACCTTGAACCAGGAGAACATGTCCAGCTCTAGGGAGACGCCCTTGCCGAGGTCAGTCTCGAAGACATCGGTCTCGCACTTCCTGACCTTGTAGCGGTTGGGGCCATCACCGTCGGGGCAGGTGAAGCGGATGGCGGCGACGAGGTTGTCGCACCAGTTGGTCGAGTCCTGGCCGGTGGGCTGGATGTCGATCTTGTACTTGAGGCGGTTGTTGGGCTCGTCGAAGCGCCAGGAGCAGTCGGCCTCGGTGGTCAGGCCCTTGCTGGGGTCGACGAAGGCGCAGGTGAAGTCGGGGTCAATGCCGGGGGGAGGGGTGGCCTGGGCAGGGGTGTTGGTCTCGATGAGGAGAGGGGCGTGGCTGACAGTGCGGTCGGGCGCGGGAAGGAGGCGGAGTTCCTTGGCTGCCTGTGTGCTCATGAGGATGTCCGAGTCGGGACCGGTCTCCATGAGGTCCTCGTCGTCGCGCTTGAAGATGGAGGGGCTGGGAGGGCTGTCGTCTCTGCCGGCGGACCAGTAGCGAGTGCTGCAGACGCTGCTGCGGTAGCAACTGAGGGGTGTTAGCTTGAGTTCGAGTAGACAATGGGATAAGGCAAGGAATAATGACTTACCCCTCGTTGACCCAGTTGGTCAGGACAGGGTGGTTGAAGCACATGGAGAAGTGGATGGCCCACTGGACCTCCTCCATGAAGTCCTTGCCCTCGGGCCAGGGCCAGCCGATCTTGTAGCGGAGGAAGAGGCCGTTGCCGTTCTCGTTGGCGTTCCACTTGCGGTCGCACATAAACCAGTAGGTCCAGTTGTCGGTGAAGTCCTGGATCTTGGTGATGAGCATCTCGCACCACTTCTCGCTGGACATGCCGACGGGGTCGATCTTGATCTGGTACTCGAGGTGGTTGTCGAAGCCGCAGTTCTCGAAGGAGTAGCTGCAGTCGATCTGGGGGACGATGTAGCGCTTGATGATGTCGGTGCAGTTGTGGTCAGGGAGAGGGCCGAAATCGTCGCGGACGGTGATGCCGGTGGTGTTGACCAGGCTGACCTGTCCGTCGGAGGAGGTGGCGATGGCGGTCTTGGGACCGAGGCCAGGGCCAGCATTGGCGATGGCGGCACCCAGGGCACCAGCGGCAAGGGAGGCCTGGACGAGAACACGCGGGATCATCATCGTGAAGTCTTGTTTGGTGTTTGAGTGCTTGACGGTGATGATGATGAGAGAGTGTGGAGGGAAGAGGGGAGAGAGTTGGGTTTGTGTGGGTGAGAGCAAGAGAAAATTCTCGCAGCTTGCGCAGAGTGAAGAGGGCTACCTTTGTTTTTTTCTCGAGTTCTTTTCGGGACGCGTCAGGTTGTGCACCCTCCTTAAGCGAGGCAAAGGTGAGAGCAACAAAGACAGATGAGGCAGGAGGCAGCTGAGAGGCAGAGTCGTGCCTTCCCTCAAAAGGAGAAAGAGGTTGAGGTGTGAGGTGAGCCCACTCATTCACCCTCAGTCTCCTGGGCTGCTAATCAGACCCAAGCTTAGTTGTAAACTTGAGTTAGGAAGACCACTCAATTATTACTGCGCTAGCCTATGAGACTTTGACAACTACTTTGATGAAAAGTTTGCGAAGAAATATTCTGCTCAACTTCCAATGGACCGCCTTATTTCTTAATATCAACGTAGCTATTTCCGCGTCCCAAGAACTGAAATGTTTTCACTCAAATCAAGAAGATTGCTTTTCGGCAAAAAGCAAATACACGCAACGCGTAATTCCCATCTCAGCTCGTTCAATCTTTCTTGACTTTTGGAATCCCTGGAACTGCTCTTGCTTTGGTTGCTACTTCGTCAGCGTGGTCGTCGTCAGCGCCCACCCCAAGGCAATCAATCAAGTTTGAGGCTCATAATTGACTTGATTGACTGGCGATAGCTTCATAATTGATTGATTGAACTTGATAAGTTTACTTGCCTTGAGGTGGGCGCTGGTCGTCGTCGTCGCCGCCGCCGTTGTCTCTGTTGTCCGTCGTCGTCTTGGTCATCTATGATCGTCGTCGCCGTCGCTCAAGCAGGAAAACTTCAATTCGAAAAAGGGAAGATATCACATGAATAAGGGATTGGGGTACTGTTCAAGTGAAGCCATAATGATGGTAAACTCCATCCCAGAACTATTTAGTGGTGAGCTGCATGAAAGTGATCCCCGCGGGAAAGGGGGATCACCAGATCCGTACGCTCATTCCGAGGATAGTTACATCTCCCTGTCGACCCATATATATCCTCCTTGGATCAAGCTCCATCCCCAGACCTGCCTGGCTTTGAGGGTCCTACAATCGCATGCTCGGACACGTCTTCTCCTGCATGGTCCACAAAGACTTTCTTCGCGTGGGTCTCACGCATTCGAGATGCATGAGCTCCTGGCAGGACGACGGGCGACCAAAGACATCGAGCATCGACTTCGACCAGCTTCCGCCATTGATTGAGGTCGGAAGCTTCGCCAAAGACAGTGTATCGAGGGTCCCGGTCACCCGAACCCAACTCAAAATCGTAGATCATTTTCCACTTCAGTCCTGTCGAGAGCTTCTGATGGACACGAACGCTGCAAACCAATTGATCAGTTTGACAAATCCCTTCAGAAAGCTCCGTGGAAATGAAAGTGTTTACCAGTAAGGGTTTCGAAAGAACCCGATCTGTCGAAATTTTGGAAATGGAAAGTCTTCCACACATGCGCGGTACCGGCCCCATACATAGCCAACAACCATCCAACGAGCAGTGAAATCCATGACCTTTCGATCAGGGCAACGGGGCTTCGGGGATTATACGTCTATATTTGGGGCAAAAGCGAGCCGCCGGCAATATCTTTGATTGCGGTTGAAGCAGTCGGAAGACCAAAGAGGTCGAGTGTAAATTTTGTCGTAGCTTGCGTTTTCCAGCTGATGATCAGTCCAATTATAGATGGCAGGATCATTCAAAATTTCGTTGGGATGATCGACAAACAAGAATCGTAGTTGAATGCAAAGCGGAGACGAGCCTCTGTATCGCTCTTCGTGGTATGCTGGGTGGACGATGTACGATGAAATCATCCATTGAAACTCCGATGGGGGACCCTCAGGGATGGATAATTGAGACTGCGACATGTCCGATTTGCTAATCACAGAAATCGCATTGCGATACTCTGGCCAGTTCTCTTCGAACGGGTTTAGCTGATGCCAGTATGGGCGTTGGGGAGTTGCGGGAGACGCCTCCCAGTTTGGTGACTTTCGAAAGTTCATGGTGACTGGTAAGTTGAAGCAGAATTCCATGTATGATGTTGTGATGGTATGGGTAAAAAAAAAAAGATTTACCGCAGAGAATTCATGTACTCAAACACCTTCTGTTCGGAAGGCTTTCTTGTATTCCGTAAAGCTGGGAAATGCACCTTGAGGATTTCCCTCCCCACGTTTCCTCCTTGGTACATACTCCAGCGATATGATCGGCCGCTGACCACGCACATTGTTCTTCAGCGCTTGTGGTAAGGTAATACACAAATTGTTCAATCGTGACCACCCATATGTCGCATTGACACGGCTCAAGAAATCTCAGACCTTTGTTTCCAGCCCTAATGGCCGAATCAGGACAAAAGACCGGAGCGCTGAAGATTTCTAGCGCTATGGTCTCCCAAGGCCTTGACGCCTATTTGCAAACCCATGCAGCTTTCCTGATCAAGTTCTCTGTTCAAGTGTCTGTTCAAGTGAAGCCATCGTGAGGAATCAAGCCACATGCGAGATGAGGTAATCTTGGAAACGCCACAGTCAGCCCGAGTCAGCCACAGGACCCCCACATATGCAGCCCAACGAGGCACCAATCCGATGGATGCACCTTCAGCACCTAAAGGGAGCTTATGAAGCTGCAGCAGCTGCATTGCGGTACGTACCGATCGGCCCCTGTGGCCCTGCACTAATTCGCAGCCGCCATTGGAGCCAGCGAGCCCGGTGCAGTGGCCAGCGGCCAGCTAGCAGGACGCGGTCGAGTCTCGGAATGACATTTCGCGACGCCTGACACTTGACACTTTATGCACCCGCCAGAGCAGAGCTCCATCTTTGCATTTCGCTTCATCTTCCCCTTAGCAGCAGCTGCCGATTCCTCAAATTCCACCGACCGACCGACCACCGTTGACGACACTCCCGAACGACGTGGACTGCCGAATGCCACATACCGACCGCCTCGATCCTATGCGCGACTGAGCCTGTTCCCCTTCCTGCTGGAAATGCCTGCGGAGACGAAACCATGGACTTTGTGAGTGCTGGAGCCCCCCTTCTGGCTGGCCAGCTGGCGATGGCTTCACCCCCGTGCTGACCTTTGACGTCGCAGTGGTCGCGCCTCCTAGCGGGCACTTCGCTCTCCCCCTCCAACAACCGCAAGGTCGACGCCGCAAAGGACCCCACGAAACGCTTGCACCGGTTCGATAAGGAATACAACCGCATCTTGGTGAGCCCTGCCGCGGGACGGACCCTATCGCCGGAGCTTTGGACCCTGACTAGTCCCCCTTTACCGTAGCAAATCTGGAGATCCTCCTCAAACCTCGCCAATGACGTCGACGCCGCCGAAACCCTCGAGATCAGGCTTCAAGAGCTGACCAACATCCTCAACGACGAGTCCCGACGCCCGCTCCCCCACCCCTGCATCCAATATGCCGCGAAGAAACAAGTCTACGTGCCCATCGGCAAGATAGCGACCACATCCTACAACGAGTGGATTATCAAGGAGGCCGTACTTTTTTTTGCGACCCTGCTCGAGACCGAGGAGGAGGCCTTTGTCGAGAATGTCACCTTCTCCGCCAGTTTGACCAACCTGCTGGTCCGCATCACCGGCGTCAACAGCGTTCGCCTGGGTTCCGACACCGAGGCCAAGGTTGTCGAGCTGGCGTTTAACATCACCACCAAGATCCGCCTCAACCGCGACATCCTGCACGCGTGGTTCAAGACCAACCACGATGGCGCCCCGAAGGTCAATCCCCAGGACGACCAAGGCTCCTTCGCCGGCCGGACCCAACGGCAGGACTTTCCGCTATTCTACATTTTGATGGACTACATTCATCACGAGGGCAAGGTTGGAGATTTTGCCAGGACGGGACTGCTGTACATCATCGAATCAGCATCCAGCGACGAGTCGTTAGAGCAATGGATTGTCGAGAGTGACCTGTCTACGTTGATGGCGACGGGTCTGGGAGCCCTCTACAGCCAGTTGAGCCGGAAGCTCGTCATCGACTACCCTACCAATGGCCTCCCCGCTATTCTGGCCTTCTCCGACTACGAGCGTCCCACCTCCACTTTTGAGATCATCAGCTCCTGCTCTGGCGACTTCCAGGGCCACATCGAAACCTTCCTCTCCCATCTCCTCTTCTGGCAGGACGTGCTGGACCACTGCAAGTCGGTTGAGGTGAAGCAGACACTTCTGGAACACTTCCAGGTCATTTTCCTGCAGCAGCTCCTGTACGCCCCCCTTCCGTCTGATATCAGGAGATCCTTTACTGACTGAGCGTGCAGATACCCTTCGCTGCTGGAGTCGTCTGATATTGACGGAGGCTCGTCCGTTGCCGTCCTTACCTATCTCCGCCGCATCCTAGAATCCCTCGACCACCCCGACATGATCAATCTCATCCTCCACTACCTCCTCGGTCTCCCTGACCATGTCTCGACTGGCCCCTCAAGTGGTGGGCGCGCTTCCATCAGCGCAGCTCGCAAGCGCAAGTCCATGGACCTTGCAACCATGCTGGCCCAGACACAATCCGACATCACCGCTACACCTTTGCTGTTTAACCTCGTTGATCTCATCCAAGCGTGCTTGCGCTCCCATAACCAGCAAACCATCCGTGTTACGCTCCAGCTAGTCTCGGCCATTTTTAAGAGACACCATCGCTATGCTGTGGGCACGCTCTTGCGCACGGAAACAGTGATTGGCGACAAGATGCATCGCACGGTCGGAGCACATGAGCAGGAGGTCGACTACCTCATGAGCCTGGCTGGTTCGATTGGCGGCCAGGACAACTTTGATGAAATCTACGAGAATGTCCTGAAGGATACAATGACACGACTGGAGGGCCATCCCTGCTCTTTGAAGCTCGTCGCCCCCAAGATTTCCACCAACAACCATGACCTACCCGCTATTCCTGATACGCTTCCTGGGGCGCCACGCGACGTGCACGAGCACACGCTCCGACCGGACGATCCCATGCTCAACACAGTGCTGGACCTTCTCGAGACCTTCTTCATGAACCCTGTTGACACAAACCTCTCTCTGACCGAGTCCATTTTGGATCTAGCCATCTGCGGCTATATGACGGTCGAGGGATGGATGCTCCGAAATCCTCAAAAATACACTTACGATGAGCAGCCACCTAGCCCGACATCTCCTGACGCATCAACGACGTCGTTCAGGCCTCCAACGGACCCTGATTCCACAACGTCCGCGGAGCAACAAACCCTTGCAGCTCTTGACGGATGTCGTCGTCGCCCCGTCTGGACCCAGTCCTCTCTGCCGCGTATTCTCATCGTTCTCCAGCAACTCTGTAACCAGGTAGCCCAGTACCGCGAGACGGTCCCCCGCTTTGAGGACCTCCTGCAAAGCCGGAGAGAGGCGTTCCAAACTGCGGATAACCGGCCCACGCCGCCGCCATTGCCGCCTCGCAAGCCGACTCCGCAGAGACACAGGTCAGCGCATACCCCGGAACGCGAAAGTCTGGATGATGCACGCAGTGGATCGCCGGCGCGCCCGTCTGGCCTGGAACGTTTTGCACAACGCCTGGTCTCGGAGTTGAGCACTCCAACCCGGTCAGGAACCCCCAGGGGAAGAAAGAACAGCCGTGGTTCCGGGACTAACAGCCCGGCCCCGGGCAGTCTATCAGGCGGATATGGTCTGTCTACCCCGACGTCCCGGCCTCTTCCCCCACCAAAAGACACTCCCTACGACCATGCCCCAAGAAGCGTGACAGATGAAACTGGTTCGTCGCATGGGCCTAGAGACCCCGTGGCCAGCCAGGCAGCTGCGTTTGCAGCGATTGACCAAAGTATTCTCGCGCGTAAGGTCGGCATTCCTGGCAAGGTCGAGGCCATCCCGCTGGATCTCGGGAAGAAGCCGACTCTACATATGCCGCCGCCCAAGGACGACGATGAGGAGGCAGAGCAGGAGGTCACGGAAGAAGGAGAGCAAAAGGTTGAGCAAGAAGGAGAGCAGGAAGCATCAGAAGCCCAAGAGGCCCAGCCGGAGCCAAGCGGCGATGGTACCGCCGAGGTCAAGCCAAAGCCAGAGGAGAAGAAGGCGGAGCGTACCGCTTCGGTCTCGCATGTGCTCACGAACGTGATTATACTGCAGTCTTTCCTGTTTGAGCTCGCTGCCCTGATCCAGGTGCGTGCCGGGCTCTTCAACGAGGTTCGCTACGCCTGAGGTGGTGCCGAATGCAACCGTGGGGGGCATGGGGCTAGGGTGGAGACTTTTCTGTTTCTTTTCTACATACCAGATAAAAGACCATTCTTATTGTACGTAGTATACTTTTTCCTGTGGCTTCCCGGTTCTGGGCCTCGTCGCTCGCTTGCATTGCTTGGCGTCGGTAAGGGAGGGGAGGGGGTTCTCTGTTAGGTGCTGATGAATAGACTTATCTGCTGTGTTTATTACTATGATGTCGTCTGCTGAGTGGCCCGGTCTGGGTTCGGTGAAGACGATGGTGAGGCGACCATCATGCGGCGCGTACCTACTTACTAAGTGATGGTGTTGGGCTTGTTTAGATGAAAGAACCTAACGGAAGTACGGATAAATCCCCCTCCCCCAAAAATGGCGCGCGCCGTTAGCCGTTCATGCCTTGTGATCTGCCGAGCGGACCCAGTAGTGGTGATCGACGGCTGACGTGCGCTAATGCATCAAGTGCCGGGGTGCAGGGGTTGTTGAGTTTAGCTGGGGGTGGAGGCCGAGGGGGTGGGATGCGTTGCGCAGCTCGCGTTCGCGGGGTGCGGCGGACGGTCGGGTTGGATGCCGAAGCCCGGCTTTCTTTTGGAGTTAGGCTGGGTTGGACCTGGGGATGTCACCGTCGTGCGTTGGTTGAAGGCCAAGACTGGGGAGTTTTAGCTGTGGGAGTGTCGGGGTTTAGGAAGATTCTGGAAGGAGTGGTTCCTCTTTTGAAAGGTTTCCTCGTGTTTCTATATGGTTTAATGGGAGCATGAGAAAGAGGAAGAGGAGTTGTTGAATGAAGTTCATGGGCAGAGAGGGAACTGAGTTTGTCCTCGTTGAGGTGACATGAGTCAATTGCGGTAGCATTCCGCCAGATCTCGGCCTCGGACGCGGGAATTTGGGCTGAAGAGACAGGTCGTCTGTCACTAAAAGAAAGTTAGGCTTTCCAGCTTTCTTGCATGTAGTGTTGGAGCGGCGGCACATTTCGTGATTTGGAGAGCAGAGCAGAGTTTGGGGAACGATCTCAGAATGGTATGGCTCAGAATGGTATGGTATGGAGCGTCACGCAAGCGAATGGGCAGATAATCTTTCTCAGACCGTTTAATATCTCGATTACGAGAGGAGAAGTGAAAAGGTTCGATTGGTAGTGGTCGGCTAGACCGGATTGCTTCAGACGAATTGGTCGGATGATTTTTGGGTTTTTTGGGGCATGGGTAACGTTTTCCGCGTGCTGTTTTTGGAGACGCTGCTGGCACTTGAGTCGTGGGCTGAAGAAGTCTGAACCGAATCTGAGTCGGACGCGGTTCCGTGCGCTCGCGAGTCGGGGGGCGAGTTGGGCACGGCGAGACGTGAGTCGGGGACATTTTTCTTCGCGCGCAGGAGAAGGCTGAGTTGTCTTGGCCTCTGCAATGAGACGAGGCATCAGCTGAATTGGGAGACACGTGTGTGCTGTCTGCGGACTTGCGAAGTGACGGCGGCGCTTGTTGGTCTGTGGTGAAGACAGAAGTGTGGAATTGTCGCGGGCTGAAACTGTGGAAACGCGCTTGTTGGAAAAAGGCAAAAGGGCGCATCTTATTGAAAGTGACGGTAAGGGTCCTTCCTTGGGCGATATGACGTGCTCGAACGGGCGCGCCACGTTGTCTAGGGCTGTGGACAAGGGTCTGTACGTTCGTCAGCCCTTTTTCTCGGTGATGGGACCGGGATTCCAGATAGATGGGCTTGTGCCATGGACGGGTTCGTGTTGAGCGTGCCTAAGAAAAGAAGTGGGAATGTAACCGGGGAAAGGGCCAGCTGGTGTAACTGGTCGGTAGATAAAGGGAAGATTCGTCCTGTGTTGTGTCAGTTTGGCCTGTTTGCTTGTTGCTTTCCAAGTCTTTGCCGTCTGATGTCGGATGAGAATTTGAAGTGAGCAGTTACATGGATTATTTTGAATTACACTCCCCTTCATCGAAGAGACCAAGCGTCCCATCATTCAGTTTACCATTTCTTTTCTTTTCAACTATACCAACTTTACTACACCCGCCCGGAGCAGATTATCTCTTTTCTCTTCTTTTCGTTTCAAAGGACATACTCTACTTTCTTGAAGAACACTTGGAACGGTCGTTTTAGAGCATATACATCATGAAGTTCTCTGCTTTTGCTGTCATTACTGCCGCCGTGGCCGGCGTTGGCGCCGTGCCCGTTGAGTCTGGGTATATCTCTCCTCCTCAACCACACCTATCTCCAAAGAGACCGTCGACTAACACCAAACCCCAACAGCCCCCTCTCCTCCCTCCAAAACCGCGCCACCGAAGCCATAGGCGGTGTAGTCTCCTTCATCCGCCGCGAAGAGCTCGGCACCCCCGTCGTCCCGCAGCAGCTCAAGCGCGCGCCGCCGGTGCGCTTCCACAACGCCCGCGACGCGGAGTACCTCCGCCGGCGCAAGGACGGCGACGGCAAGGGCGGCAGCAACCCCGTGCCGCCGCTCAACCCGTTCAGCACGAAGAGCAAGGGCGGCAAGCGAGACGTGCTGGAGGCGCGGAAGAAGAAGGACCCGGAGGAGGTGCCGCCGTTGAACCCGTTTTCGACGGGGAGCAAGGAGAGGAGGGAAGGAGGGGATTTGACGAGGAGGAAGGCGCCGCAGGAGAGTGTGCCGCCTTTGGCGCCGTTTTCGGTCGATGGGGAGGATGAGGAGTGAGGGGAGTTGGGGAGCGGGGGGTTCGTCTAAGCTGTTGAGGATGCTGGGGTTTAGGGGATCGCGATGGAGGGGCCTGGCTGGACCGTGAAGCTGGGACTTGTCTTGGGCAATGTTTGGTCGGGATCTTCTGGACGAAGGCGGAGATGGGGAAGGGGAACCTCCTTTTTTTTATAGTGGGTTGGGGGAGAGTTCCTGGGGAATTGAGACTTCGATTCACTGTATATCTTGAAGCCATTTCTTCTTTTTTTGTTCTACTAGACGTCGAGTTGCGGTGTGAAGATGTGTACATGTTGGGTGGACAACAAGGCGGTGGGCGGAGGCTATCCGGCATACGTCCCGATGCGAGGGCCAAAGTACTTCCCCTTGGGCAGCTTGAGCCTCGTGCAAGCCGTCGCCTCGCAGCCCTTCTCCGAGTCGTTGCCCCACCAGTTGACCTCGAACCCGTGATAGCTCACCGCAAAGAAGATGACCACCGCAGCGATTGCGATCGCAGTCGAAAGGGCGGCTGACAGGACGTAGTTGTACTTTGACCAGAAGGCGAGGTAGCGCTGGCGGAGGTAGACCATGCTCAGCCAGCCGGGTATGACGGCGGGCCACATGTACGCGATGTTGTACTGCAGGTTAAATCAGAAACTAAGAAGAGCAAGGGGGGAGACGGCTTTTGACTCACGGGAGACCAGCTGATGCCGCCGCTGAGGATCATGACGGGGTGGATCTTGGCGACCCAGTGCGTGCGCGGGAAGCGCCTCTGGAAGACGTAAAAGAGGATCGGGATGGCGAAGCCGACGGGGAAGGCGGAGAGGAGAGCGGTGTAGATGCCGCCGGAGCCGAAGACCTTGCGGGCGCCCAGGCTGCCGAAGAGGACTGCGGCGGTGAAGTAGGTGTTGACGCCGGGGCAGGAGAAGCGGTCTTTCTGATTGCTGTAGCGAGGATTATTAGCACGAGATGGGGGAATTGGTGTGAGGAGTTCCTTACGTCGAACAGAGGTCGGGGATATTTTCAATCTGAAAGTTCATGACGCCCGTGCAGACGAAGGCGGAGACGAAGACGGCGACGACTTGGGCGGCGAAGGTGTGGCGCTGGGGGATCTTGAGGTAGTGGGCTAGCTTCAGGTCATTGGCGAAGTCGAGGGCGTGGGCGGTTGTGACGTAGCTGGAAACATTTGTGAGCCGCATAGTTGTGAGAGTTGAGATGTTTGGACGTCTTACCCGAAGCACTTGAAGAAGTTCATGGCGAGAGCATTGCCGGGTTCCCATGCACCGCCGATGAACTCGGCCAGCACACTACCGTTCTATTAGTCTATGAAATGCATCAGAGGTTTAGGTTGACTTACTTGAACTCAACCTCCATTCCGGTCGTGGCGAAGATGATACCAGTGGGGATGACGAAGACAAGGGCGAGCGCGATGCCGAAGAAGACGACGCCGACGCTGGTCTAAAGAACGTTTAGCCATGGCGCTGGATGGAGCATATGAGTTGGGAGTCTACCTCAGTAGGCCAAGCAGCAACGGCCGCGACACCGAATGCAATTGCGAGCAGGTTGAGGATGAGGTAATACCACTCGGGAACTGTTATCGGTCAGCTCAAGTAGTGAAAAGAGGCAAGGAAGATCCCGGTACCTTCGGGATAGTTCGACATCATCCTGGTGTGGACATCCTTGAAGTCCTGCGACGCCTCCTTCTTGAAGCTCCGGAGCAGACTCTTGAAGCCCAGCGCAATGTCGTGGCGATGAAAGAGGATCGCATAGGAGATTGTCGCGGCGTAGACGGCGAAGAAATAATAATACATAGTGATGCTGCTGGCGGCCAGGTAGACGGGGGAGTAGGCTTGGTACTTGGCCTCATCCAACCACCCCCGGCTATCAAGGATCTTGGAAACGTTGTAAGAGCCACCGAAGTGGTTATACATGAGGTTCGAGTTGATCGGGAGGTAGGCTGTGTTGTACGCATTCGTCCAGTACAGCCCGATGATCGTGATGCCGCCGATGAAGACGCCGATGAATGTGTTGAACGTGACGCGGAAGGGGACGACAAGGGGCTGGACGACGTGGGTTGCGACGTTCCAGTCGAAGGTCGGCAGAGGGTTGAAACCGAGACCTTTGCGAACACCGGTGATGGCGGTGAGGGTGAAGTTATCGGGCGCAATCCACGCGACCCAGTTGAAGAGTGAGAGGGCGCCGAAGATGTAGTCTGGGAACCAGAACCAGACGAACATGCAGGCGAAGGCAGCCAAGAAGAAGCGGTAGCGGGATATGCTGTAGATCTTCTTGAAGGGGCCGGCGACCGGGTGGTTTGTCTCTGTTACAGGATCAGTGTTCTGCGACTATCATAATGAACATGTTTCTATGACTTGGCCTACCGTTATGAAGCGAGCTATTCAGAGCAATGGTGACCAATGATGCCGGCCATAGACAAAAGGCTGGGTACACCAAGAAACGCCTGCACAGACCAGCCAAACCGAAACCCATCAAGTTCGTGGAGAGAGCCAGAAGGATTTGGTAGCTGAATGACTTGGCGTACTTTTGCCCAAAGTAGCGATCCATCCATTGGGTGAAGACTGAGGCGGATCTTGTCAGATAACCAACACCATGTTCCATCGAAAGACGCGGAACTTACTGATATATCTCGAACTAGGCAGCGTCTTGCCAACGCTCGCCATAATCGAAATCAACATGTGCTCCTTCTTATTAAAAGAACCCGGGTTCAAGCTATGCCGAACACCAAACAACGTGAACCCAACATCAGGCAGGAACCTCTCCGCGGCCTTGCCGACCGGATACGCCAACAGCTGCACGACCTCGGCCCTCAGCGTGATCGACGGCTGACGTACGCTAAAGAGCTGGTTGATGAAGGCGATGAACACCACGAACGCGAGCCCGATGACCCAGGCGCGGATCGTGGAGACGGGCAGGCTGGGGTCATCGTGTGGGTCGACGACGGCGCGGACCTCAGCGTAGGGACTATTGATGGTGAGCAGCGAGACCTCGACCTTGGCTTCGGAGATTTCGCGGGCGTGGGAGTCTGGGTTGGTCAGGATATCGTCGTTGGCGAGGAAGGCTTTGAGGCGTTCGAGGGCGCCGGCGGGGAAGTTTGGGTCGAGGTTGTGTTGGGAGACGAGTCTTTCGGCGGCCTGGGTTAAGTGTGAGGGGCGTGGGAGAATGGCTGGGTTGGGTGGCAGCTACTTCACGGGTTTCTTGGAGGGAGAGGCTGCGGGAGTGTTCTCTTGCTTCGAGGACCTCTTCGGGTGTAGCATTCAGTTGTCTGGCGATTTGTGAGTTGGATGATCTTGCGTAGGTGAAATGTAGACTTACTTTGCCACTTCATCAACAGAAATCTTCTCATCGAAGCTCTCACGCTGTGAAGTTATTAGTTGATGCCAACAGAAGATGATCGTACCCGGTAGACTCACTTGAGGGTTGACATCAGCTGGCGCGACGACATCGATGGTATCGCCTGTCTTCTCATTGAGAGTACCCATTTTGGCAACGACTGGTGGACGAAACCACAGACAGATGCAGAACCTTAAGAGATGAGACACAACAGGTAGTACAGGGACATGAGGTGAGTCAGGGCAGAGCAGTTCTTATTGCCGTTCGTGAGTAGTTCACGCGAACGATGGGACCGGGGTTCGTTCGGGCGGTAGCAACCCGGATATCTGGTGACTATGTGGCGCTAAAGTCTCCCAACAACCTGAATGCCATCCAACGGGCAAATGCCCCGAGGTTTCGTCTGATCTTACCATCTGCAACTTGATAGTATGCTGTGGCTAAAGAAGGAAGAGTGGGCTCTGGCGGGGATCCCGACCGACTCGCATTGCAGTACGAAGACGCGTACCTCTAGCCCGGTATGCACCCGTTTCGCTCATAGTTCCATCGCTAGAGACTCCTTCAATATGGAAATTACTCGGGTTAAAGACAGCCAAGACGCATATCTTCGTTGAGCAGATGACATTGGCAAATCTCTGCAGTGAAAACTGCCGCGCCAGCAGCGACGCGCTGTCTCGCACCATCCCGAGAATGAATGAGAACCCTACGAGAAAATTACCTCTATGGGAAAACGAATCCTCCCATCTACGGCTGCCAAACCCGGGAGACAATGTCTCTTACGTACCAATAAGCTTAACCCGTCCTATCTCGGGCTCGCCCATCCCGCTCCAACGGTCGGCTGCAGGGATGAAGTGGGCGGGAAGTGGGCGCGTCTCTTATCGCGTCATCGGCCAGAGAAATGGCGGCTACGGAGGAGAGAACAAAGACGGCAAAGTGTCTACCAGATTTTGACGGCTACCTGCAGATGGCCCGGTCAATTGAGTGATAAGAATAGCGAATCACGAGTGCGGCATGTTGACCAACGTCGTCGGTGCGATTGGAGTCCCCCGCAAGATCCCGCTCACGACGACTTCTCTTCACCTCTTTTCTTGACCAAAGATCGCTGGAAGTCATACCCGACGCTGAGTTTGGTCTTCTCGGGTTACTCCGTTGGAACGTGGGTCAAATCCAAGTGACGCCATTCCGACCCACGTTGACGCCGCCGTCCATCAGCAAACGCCAAGCTCTGAAGGCGACTGCTTGAGTCGGGGAGCCCAGCTCGAGGGTAATTGAGGCATTGCATGCTGTGATTAGGATCGCTCTTCTTGACGAAAATTGCTTTTGTGTAGAGATCGTTTGCTTGCAGTATTTTTAGAAGATTGTGACGATTTCATGCGTCGAGCACTCCAAGATGGTCGGCAAAGGCGAAGGTGTCTTTGATTCAAGTCCCCCGCCGTACCAGCAACATCATGCGCCGAGACTGTTCGTCGTTCGGAGGCGCCGAGGACGTCTTTTAGCGTTTACTGTTCTCGTCGTTGTGCTCGTCTCCTTGTCGCATTACTACAGCGTGGCTGTTCAGGGTCCTGCCGTCACCGAGGAGCAGCGCGACCTGCTTGTGAAGGGCCTCGAAACCTGCCGAAAAACTGTTTCTCGGCATCAAATCAAGGGCGACGGTCTACTACGAGAATCCAATCCGCGATGGAACAAGGTCTCCGGACAAAAGCAGACCATTGTTCTCCGGAATGCGACCCTCTTTGACGGAGACGTAGTTCTCCCCGATGCAGTCGATATTGTCTTCGAGAAAGGTCTCATCAAGTCTGTCGAAACGACTCGAGAGAAAGGAGATTTCCCCAGCGATGCAGTCGTCTACAACCTCAACCGCCGATTCGTGACGCCCGGGCTCGTCGACATCCACTCTCACCACCTGGAACTCCCCTTCTCCTCAGTCTCTGCAATCGAAGATGTGAATGAGAAGCCACAGCTCGGACCCATCACGCCCTTCGTCCGAGCCATTGACGGATTCAAGCCCTACGATCCGGCCATCAAGATCATTGCCTCCGGCGGCGTGTCGACGTCGCTGATTCTACCTGGATCCGGGAACATCATTGGTGGCCAGGGGTACTTGGTCAAGAACCTCCCATCTCCCGGCGAGAATGGAGAGCCGATCGTCGAAGATTTGTTGCTGGAACATGGAATCCCGGAGGAGAGCCGACAAAGATATCTCAAGATGGCTTGCGGTGAGAACCCAAAGCATCTCTACGGCCACACCCGCCTTGGAAATGCTTGGCTCCTTAGGCAGCATCTGGAAAAGGCCCGCAAGTTGAAGTCGGAACAAGACGCATGGTGCCGCACGGCAGAGCATGTCGAAGGTGAGGGTTTCAAGCATGTGAGAATCGCTCGCTTCGTGGCGGAATACGGTGGGTTCCCAGAGGACCTCGAGCTAGAGGCAACCGTGGCCCTACTTCGGGGAGAGTTCAATGTCAACATCCATTGCTACGAGCCGGAAGACTTTGAGAGAATGCTTGCCGTGCTACATGAGTTTGGTGTTCACCCACAAGCGTTCCACCACGCTCTGGAGGCATGGCAGGTCCCAGAGTTTCTTAAGGAGCAAGAGAGGTAATCAAGTGAACTACGCATGATTGGATTATGGCTGATGGGGGACTGCATAGAAACATCACCATTGCCACTTTCGCGGAAAACTCTCTTTTCAAGCATGAGGCATATGGAGCTAACTTGCGCGGACCAAAGATTCTAGATGATCACGGCATTTGTGTGGTCCTGAAATCAGTAAGATAGGACCAGGAAACACTCCTGGAGAGGACTCAGAGGCTCAACATTTGTCGTCTAGGACCACACCGGTGAAAGCAACCATGCCAAATACCTCGCGTAGGTCTACCCGTCAAGGCAAATATTCGCTCGAGGTTTCAACTAACGCTTGAGAAGATACCAAGCAGCAGTCTCTCATTCTTTTGGACTCTCAGAAGCAAAGGCCCTGCAGTCCATCACCTCGGCTGGTGCGTATTCGATCCAACAAGACCACCGTATTGGGTTTGTCAAAGCCGGCTATGATGCGGACCTAGTCGTATGGGACGCACATCCCCTTCAAGTCGGCGCGACTACTGTTCAGGTCTTTGTTGATGGTCGCGAGGTTCTCGACGGGGACAGCACTCTGGCTACCTTGAGCAGGACTCCGGAAGACAGTGATGTTGCTTTGCCAAAGGTTAAAGCAACAATCGAAAAGGAAAAAAGAGAAGACATCTGTGGAAGAGCATTGAAACGCAATACTCGGATTGTTCTCACTGGGATCAGAGAGGCTCTGATTGATGATGTGTCTTCTCTGGACACGAGTGACCATCTGGCAATGGTCGTTACGAACGGGGAGATCACCTGCCTTGGGGCCGAGTCTGCATGTGTTTCCTCTTACGAAGGCGGCAGCATTGTATCAATCAAACTAGACAACGGCTACATCACACCCGGTCTGGTTGCGTTCGGCAACAACATTGGCATCTTGGACATCTCCTCTGAGCCATCCACAGGCGACGGGTCACCAGGTCGGAAGGGCAACGCGCTCAACGAACGGAAGGACCTTCACTTTGCTAAGTACGGAGTTCACTTCGGGGGAAGAGGTTTCGGCCGCGCTCGGCTCGGCGGTGTCACAAGAGCTGTCACTGCACCAATCTTTGGCGGCGGGTTGCTTCAAGGTGTCAGTGTCGGGCTCCGGACTGCGGAGAACGCTACTGTTCTTGGAGGTGGTATATGGAAGAACGAAGTTGCTTTGCACGTTGCCATCGGGCAGGAAGCTAAGGGTAAGCTTCGTTCTCTGTGATGCTCGCGTTGCTTTTGCTGACCACACAGTAGGCGATGACACTCCGACTATATCATCCGGGGTCGAACGTCTACGTCAGGCCATTGAGGAAGGGCAGGCGGTGTCTGCGCAACCAAGCAGTGCCTATGCTCGAGCGGCAAACGGGGCACTGCCTGTAGTCGTGTACACTGTGAACGAGGCGAGACATCTTCTCCCATGTTCTGTATCCGGAGCAGTTGCTGACCATCTGGCAGGATGACATTTTCCAGATAATTCTCCTAAAGCGTGACTTTCCTGCCGTGAACTTTGTCATCTATGGTGGACATGGAGCTCCCTTGGTAAGGCATTTTGCCTTATATGATCGAAGTCACTGCTTGCTGACGACTCCCTAGGTTACCAGAAATCTAGCTGAAGCCAAGATACCCGTCATCTTGACTGGCAATCGCGGTGCCCCTGATAAGTGGGAGAAGAAGAACTCCTTCGCCGGTCCTCCGTTGTCTCCGAGCCCCGCTCAGGTACTCATCGACGCTGGGGTGCTCGTCGCGCTCGCAGTCAGAGGCGACTCCAAGGTCCATGGGCTTGCTCAGGAGGCACAGTGGGCCGCTAAGTTCGCGGGCTTAAGTGAGAAAGAGGCGATCAAGTTGGTGTCGACGAACTTCAACAAGATCTTGGGACTAGAAGAGTACAGAAAGGGAGATAGTCCTGCCGGAAACAAGTATTCCGGGGATTTTGTTGTGTGGGAGGGAAATCCTCTTCGCGGCGAAGGAAGCGTGGTTTTGAGTGTTCAGGATGATGGAAAGATTGGGGACTGCTGGCCGGATTATGAAGGTGCCGTTTTGTGAGAACATTACGCATCGACGGTCGCCGGCTGCCTGGGTTGTTACTTGAATCTCCACGTGGTCTTGGTATCTTGAGCTGCGGTGTAGATTTTGACGTTCCATCCAATCTGTCTTGGGGTTGACTCGGCGAGACTACGGGATATCCCGTCAATATTCCCGCCACTTTCCTTCATACCTTGATACCAAGGGTTCTCGTGAGTTGCGAGATCGGAGGATGTCGGACGAAGCATTTCGGCTCCGTCTTGCCGTGGCATGTCGTACCGCTTACGGTATTGACGCCGTCAGATCCACCACGAGATCCGCCTAACGCTGAACGAACCAACTTCGAATGGATACGCGGCAGGAAACGAGACAGACCCATAGATGAGGTGCACCGGCCTTTGCCATATTGGCCCCAGAATGAACGGCACACCCGTAAATTGCAAGCTTTTGGGAGGGGACTGGCCACACTGAATTGTAGCAGTCTATGGTTCAACACGATGACTTGAGTATCGAAGCTCTCACAATGATACTCCATGGTCTAGTGTAATGGGTTTCGAGTGCCCTTTTTCGTAGAGTGACATTGCTTCTGGAACGCCTTCGGACTGCCCCCACGGACTGCCCCCACCCCTATGAGCATCTTTTCTGGGCCTGTGTCCACGTTGACGTGGAAGCGAGCCCACCCGAGCCTGGACCGCTTGGACCGAATCCCACCGTCAATGGCAACGTAGTGAACACCAGCAGAGAAGAGGCTCCGCGAAGCCCCGCTATCGATAGCATCTGATAAGATCGAATGCTTGTTCTCCAGGGGATCTTCAATACGTCAAAGCAAGGTTTCTTGGCATCCACTTTCACGGGCTCCAGCCACGCGGGTCACTGAAGCATCCGTGAAGCTTCGCAACTCTATTCCCACTTCCCGTTGCTCCGAGTACCCCGGTCTTCACCGGATACGCTTTGACTGCAGGACAAACGCGTAAAATAGGAGTTCGGGATGTACAATGATCACATGCTGCGTCCTTGCTGCGTGAGATCAAGACGTTGCCTGCAGACACTTCACCGATCAATTCACATTACATCCGCAAGTCTGTTATTTGGCGACGGTTGAATCCCATCTAGGTATTTCCTCGGGAATACGTGTATTTGGGCTCAAACGAGCAGCTAAACCATCCTCCAGCTAGAACAAGCATAACAGGTACATCGCTTACAACCTCAACTTAATCTAACGGCCCGACAGACCCAGTGATCATTACATGTATGGTTAAAATCAAGAATTTTCCGAGCACTCTATGATGTATCGGCCTCGGCCCTCAACAAATACACTGGATTTCACAAAAGGGAGTTACGTTTGACTACAACATCGCTACCAAAGCTCTGAGGTCCCACACTCAAATGTAACCCCGATGCATCGTGCCTGCGAGATATCCAAGCTTTAGAGATGGAGTCTTTGCGCAAGTTTCCGCCGCCCATCAACGCGTCTGAGCGGGCAATCACGGAGAATGGCTAGAACGGATGTAGTTAAAGACCTCAGTCCCCATTGAAAAAGATTAACCCCCACATTCCTGCCAAGGTTGGACCCTTTCCCGCGTAACGCTGAATCCAGCGCCGATAAACTCCGTTACATCACCGACGTTGATCAAAGCCGTCATAGTTCGTCGTTGCAGAAGAGAGCGTTCGGTGGATCTGCAAGTCGTGGGGCAATTGACCCGTAGGGCCGTCGTGGAGCCGGCCACGCGTCTACTTCAACTTCCACCCTGCTCTGGGCCCGGAGTCTTCCCGTAGATCGCTGTACCTGCAGGACGTGGCTAGTTCCGATATCTTGTTTGGCTGGATAAGAAATTGGAATTTTGATATCCCTTGAGAGGCTTCTCCGAAGACTTCCGGCGATGGCTTCGCTTTGCAGTTCGGAGGCTTTCCGAGCGTGATGCATAGCATGCAATTTGACGATCCAAGGATGAATAACGACGGACTCAGAATATCCACTGCGTCATTTTGTATTATTCGAAGAATGTTGAGGTTTTGGGTGGCTGAGGCCTCGGCGGCTTGGGATGTTGCTGCTCGGAAGTCGAGGCGAGACCGAGAACGAGAACGAGACTAAGGGGAAGAAACAAACATCGTACATCGCGATGAAGATATATAGGTTGGAGAACATCTCATCAAGCTGATTGTTTTGGGAGACAAGCGAGAAATTCAATAAAGCAACCGCTCGACCTTCTTCAATACCATTACGATGCGCGCAACCACCCTCCTCACCTCGGGCCTTGCCCAAAGCGCTCTTGCAGCAAGAGTCTTCCTCAACGAACCTGATACTGGCATCGAACAGGCTCTTCCGGACCTGCAACCAGGAGAGCTGCCCAGTTTGGACGCCATGATCGGTCTGCCGGATTTCGACTTCGCTGCGAGAAACTATCTGCCTATCAAGAACTACACCTACTACAGAAACGGAGCAGCGGGCGAGTGGTCGTACCGGAATAACCTCGAGGTGTATCAACGGTATCGCTTCAACCCGCGCGTGATGGTTGACATTACAAACGTCGAGAACACGCTCCCGTATGTACACAGTCTCTCTGCTCTTAACCATATCGATCGGCTGACAAGACCTTCATGGGAAAAGAACCACCATTTTGGGACACAACTTCTCTGCTCCTTTCTTCATCGGACCTGCTGCTCGCGGTGATTTGGGTCATCCCTTGGCTGAGCTCAACCTCATCCGAGCGGCAGCTGCGGAGAACATTCTCTACGTGGTCAGTATTTGATATTATGTTGCCAACAGGCTCAGGAGGCTGACACTAATATCCTGCAGCCCTCTCTCCTGTCGTCGAAGTCAATGGAAGACATCGCCGCCGCCAAGGCGAATGGACAAGTGCACTTCCAGCAGGTAAGTGTCGCAGCGAACTTCGTCTTTGTTCGACAGCTGTTTAACCTCAACGAAACAGCTTTATCTCCAGGATAACATGACGGAGACCCAGAAGGTCCTTGATCGAATCGAGATGGCTGGCGCCAAGGCCATCGGCTTCAGTGTCGACTCCGCGGCCGACGGAAACCGTCACCGTGCTGCTCGCTTCGACGTTGGCTCCGCTGACTCTGGCTGGTCTCTCATCACTGTAAGTTGCACTCTCCTTGATCCTTGTCCGAGTGCTCGCTGACATATCCCAGTGGGATGTTTACCACCAGCTCACAAACATGACTTCCCTTCCCATCGTTCTCAAGGGAGTCATGAGCGTCGAAGATGCCCAGGCGGCCATTGAGCATGGTGTTCCGGGTATTTGGCTGTCTAACCACGGCGGCCGTCAGCTCGATGGTGCCCCCTCGGCCTTGGAGGTTGCCCTTGACATCTACAACACCGATCCCGAGATATTCAACAAGATCGAAGTCTACGCTGATGGCGGCGTTCGCTATGGGGCTGATGTTTTGAAGCTGCTGTCCCTCGGCGTTAAGGCTGTTGGCCTTTCCCGCTCTTTCATGTTCGCCAATGTTTACGGCCAAGAAGGCGTTGAGAAGGCCATTCAAATCATGAAGCACGAGATTGCGATTGATGCTGGCAACTTGGGCGTCGGCGATTTGAAGAAGATTGATCCCAGCTACGTGAGTATCACCAAGACATCACCATTTGGGCGGGCCAAGTCCTTACTGACAAACTTTACAGGTCAAGTGGACGCCTGATCACTGGCAGGGTTAGAGTTGCATCCAAAATGCACTCCACCCATGAAGTCTAGAGCTTCTAGAGATACAACCGGTGCAAACCGTTAGACGGGGATTCAGAGGGGTTGAACGAAGCCGAAACCAAATACACTTGAGTTCAATGTTAATATTACAATACAAACAGTGGCTACTTTACAGTCATTTACATAGATAACCTTCTTCACTGAAACAAGCGCAAATACACTTCCTCGTGACGAAGCGACCGTCGTTGGCACTAGAAGATCACTGGGTAGGAAATGTCAATCATGTACGAATCCTTCGGATGCAGGAAGAACAGGTCTCCAATTCACATAACCGGCCGAATTCGGATCCCGTGTGATAATGGTGACAAGAATGAAACTATTTCTTCCCGCGTTTGCAGATGCTCGGTTTCGAGAGAGACAGCCTTCTCCGCCCTGTCACTGACCAAAACCGCCCCGCCTACGGTTTCGTCGGCAGTTACCTTGCTAATTTCCTCCTCGGTGGAGTCGTACATGTTGACAGAGCTCGCAATAATGACCCATTGGGCATTAAGTTAATTACCACATTATCGGACTTCCGTACCTCCACCATGTTCAATGTTCTGGCTACGCGGTTCATTTCGTGCTCACCGGTCATGAGAACCCTGTCCACTCCGATCTAGTGAAGGCGAGTCATCCAGATATCAATCGAGTCAAGAGTTTCATGGCGCGGCGGGGAATTGATTTTGTTGTTTTCCAGCCGAACAACTTGTGACCAACAATATGGCCAAACTGAAACAACCAGAAGAACCAGCCGGGAAGTACAGTCTTGCACGGCCATTGTATCATGGTCCACCACCACCCCCATTGCAGGATCACATCGATGCGAGATGTCAAAGACTACGAAACAAGACGGACACGGAGAATAATACGGCAAGTTTCATCAACTTGAAGCAATCATAGAAAGGCAATATACACAACAGTTTTGAACGCTTTGGCAAGAAACAACGAACCGCGGAAGCATGGAACAAGGCTACAGAATGGGATGGATGCAGATCATGGTGAGGCTAGCGAACGCCCTGTTGGGATAAGAATAGTATAGAAGAGAACCCTGGAATGCAAGGATGTAGTATGTTTTGGACCCACCGGCCGTATTACGGAAACACATGTACGAGAAGGCAAACCGAGGAGCCGTTGAAGCTGGTTCCAGACAAAGAGACATCCGACATGAAGCTCTCTTCATGTCTTGTCACACTAGTCAACATGCTATATCCTGGTCGTAGTTGGTGATGATTTACCAGAACCTTCCTCTGGTGAGGCAACGCCATCTGATGACCTCGGCACCATTGCCCACCCGGGCCCAATCAGTAAGCCCCGTCACGAACCGCACCCCTTCAGCATCCAGAGTTGGACCTTCCCAAAACTTCTTCTCTGCCCGGGCAATCAAGTAAGATCGCTTCTGCATTGCGTTCATGCTGACGCGAACATACGCGAATAGCCTTTGAGACGAACGGAACGCCAAGAGGGGAAGCCACATTCCCCAACGTAGGTCTCCGCGTGGCGACAGAGGGCCCCAGAGGGTTTCCAGGACGTCATCTTTTCTTCCCTCGATGTGCCGTCTCATTCAGAATTGCTCCAAAAGTTACTTTGCTCTATCAATAGCCAAGTTCTTGGGCTGTGTGGTTGTTCATGCAATCACACAGACGGTCACCCACAAACTCTAACTCTGCTCACTCTGAATGGCCGCTCTGGGCTGCAATCCAAGACCTCTGCACAGCACCGCCGCGACACATCTGCGCAATGATCTGCGCAACCTCACTCTTCACGGTTCAAATGTCGCCCCTTTTAATAACAGGAAGGTTGAGCCCTTCAATCCACGTCATGGACGTGTGCAAAGCGTGCTGAAAAAGACGAGGTTCAACCGCTGCCGGGATCGACGGCAATTCAACAGATTTAGCCGCTCAGACCCCATCCCTGTCAGCGACTGATGTTCATTGGGTCTCGCACGTCCAATTAAGCTTGAAGCTGGTTTGCTCTGGTACATGCTTAAAAGCCGCGGTTGGGCGAAATAAGGTTGTTTGTTACAGATTTGCTCACCGGTAGAATTTCCCTGCTGATGGGGTTCTTGGGAAGCCATGCGGGACATCTTGTCATTGAATTGCGTGTCGGATGCTCCCGAGGAGTTACTCCTCAATTTTCGCCCCAATGATGAAGTGAGCTGAGTTTGGCGTGGCCGTTGAGAGTTCGGGAGGGGTTCCCAAGAGGGCGCCGATTGCTGGGGAGGTCCCCGCGATGGTGTTGACATCGCGGAAATGTTTTAGTCAAGTACCGGTTGAGTGGTTTACGAGTGGTTCGGAATGTCGCTTTGTTTCAACGCCAGTCAAGATGCCGAAGCCATCGTTTCCCATCACCTGTCAAGGCTAAGACTATCGTGTACTAGAAACACCGGGGACAATGTCAGTGTTTGAGTCACGTCTCTCGGATCGATCGTCCAAAGACCAGGCCGACGCATTTCAGGCGGACTCGGAGAAATAATGCAGCTATTATTACCACCATACCTATCAGAAAACATCAGATAGCGAGGACGCCCAAGTACTCTGGTCAGTCCATCCACTGCTCTGATCCCTACCTTACCCCGATCAGCTGCCAGAGAGACATTATTTTGACCCCGCAAAGATTTGAAGCTCGGGTCAAAATGATGTGCGAATCTATAGCATGGAACGCCTGGAACGGGCGCAGATGTCTGGGCATTCTTCATGATTGCCCAAATCTGCCTCCTATGTGTATAGAGTTTGAGGCAGACGTCTTTTGAGGTCTGTAGATCAGGCGAGTTTATTTTCAGAATTTCCTGATTATCTGGTAAGGTTATTTTCTTGCTGAGTTCGGTTCGAGATCAACTAGGTCCCCGTGGGCTTCGTTGAGGGGAGATGCCTGGGCAGATGTTGGCATGAATGAGACATGATCGGGATGTAATCACGGCAAGGATGAAGTAGATGAGGATATTTGTGTGATTGCAGAGGTGTATAAAAAGGTCTGGTATCCTCATCAAATATCTGTTTTCCTCTTCAGATCGTTATCAGATATTCAGTCAGCTCGATTACGCAATACCTCTATCGTACTGAACCACTCTCAATATGCCTACCCTCTCTTGGAAACAGGCCCTTCTTGGCCTGCTCTTATTGGAGCCACTGGCAGCTGGACTTGCCGTTCCTCCTAAGCCTGATATGATGGACCCAGAGGATCACCTCGGTATCAAGGCACGACGCAACGATCCTGCGGTTCACGTTCCAGACGCAAGCGTTTGGGTTCGAGACCGTTGCCCTGATGACGATGGGGCTGACCGTGGTGAGTATCGTCCACCAAAACCAACAAGGCTTCACAGAGAGCTGATTCAGACTCTCACAGGCGGACGGCCATTCAGACCGCCACAGTTGCGTGCTCGTGACTGTAACCCGCCCAGACCTCCTGATGATGGTGGTATGTTAGGAACTCAAGACCAACCGGGAAGCTTTCTGGCTAATGATTGCCGTGAAGGACGACGTCCACCTAAGCCCGAGGACGGCCCCGATGGCGATCGAGGTAAGTGTATACAAGTACCCGTATCGCTTGGTCGAAGCTTACAATGACTGTGAAGGTCGAAACCCCCCTCGGCCTCCTCAGAAGAGGAACGGCGTCGATGATGGACGTAAGTGAAGCACAGAATAATACGACTCTTGTAAATTGTTTAATAACGATGCGCAGCTCGACCGCAACAGACGCCGCCGCCGCCGCCCCCGAATCCACCTAACCCACCTCCTAATCCGCCTCCGCCGCCGCCACCTCCACCAAACCCCCCTCCACCGCCCCCCAACCCGCCGCCTCCTCCTCCACCACCGCCCCCGGGGCCACCAGGCCCACCTCCTCCGGGGCCCCCTCCTCCGCCGCCGCCTCGCGCTCGGGACATTGACCACCGTGAGTGGCCGAGTAACACGGTCAAGCTGTGATTTTGACTAACGTGAAACTTCCATAGATCCCGGGATGTAAAGGAGGAGTTTCGGAATCGGTGGGGATCGAAGGCGTGGGTAGTTGGAGGGAGGCGAGAGGATTTGGGAGGTTGTTATGTCTTCTATTTTGAGAGTGACAACATCCGTTTGGTTAGTACTTTGGACGGTTGTGATTTAGTCCGATCTATTAGCTCAGGTCTTATCTGAATTGAGTTCATGCTTTGGGGGAAAGTGCGCCTTCATGTTCTTGATCAGGTTCTTGTACACTTTCCAGCTGGTGATCATTTGGCGACTGGCCGCTAACTGTCGAGTTAGCTAACGTACTCAATCGATTGGTTACTAATCTTTCGGTGGTGATCGTGGCGTGTTATGTAATATGGCCCTTCATGCCGATGGGATAATCTGGTTTCGGAGCCGAAGCAGACGTCCGATCATTTCATCCCCTCACCACATTGGTGACGGTCAGGGGTTCCATGTCTTCAACAACCCCGCAAACCAGTCTATGAAACATCAACAGCTGAATTGGTCTCCTCCACAGCTATTGGGGTGGCATCGAAGGCCTCATCGGGCCGTATTCGGGACAAAAGCGCGCCCGGATCACGGCATCAGATTAGACGTGAAGGGCCGGCAGATAATCTGAAGCCATCATCAGTCATGCTCAGCCTCAAGAACAAGCTTCCCATCCTAGCCGTGATCCCGAGTTACACCCGTCGCCGCGTGACGTTGCATTCCGTCCCCGTACGAAGCGCGGGATCTGAAGAAGAGAGACACAGGGGCAGCATCGCCGTCGAATGGCGAATTGGAGAGCTCTGCGGGGATGCAAACACTGAAACCACTTCGACTCTTCTAAGCACTTCTCGCCGTCCGAATTGATAAGTTGCTGTCTGATAACGGTAGGGATGAGTAACGGCAATTTATTTTTGGAGCTAAAACAAGCTTTATGTGGTCCACAATTCGTTCATCATCCCTAGCCAGCTGAAGTGTGAAACATTGATCATGGCCTTCCGCTGCCCTCAGCTTTTCTTCATAAAGCTGCGACAGAGACAAACAATTGAAGAATGCGGTCAACTTATTATCAGCATACTGTCATATCTCTTCTAGTTGAGGGATTCTGCTCGTAGACCTCCCGTTACAGTCTGTGATCTGGTCAGCAGCCGGTCAGCGAAACTCTATCCGAAATTCCGATCGCCTAACGACGACCGACGAGGGACATCGAGAGGAGTGTTCAGCGTACCACATAGACAATAAATAAGATCGGAACCTGAATCTCCAATCTGCATAATGTCTTTATTCCGCAGGATGGTAGGTATTGGGGTCTTTTGCGCAATGATTCCCGGGGTCCTACTAAATACTGATGTATCCTTGAAGCCAGTCCCAAGAAACGAGCGTCCACCGGACTTTCAGCTTCTAGCTCGTCAGGATGATCCGGATGAGAAAGATGATGATTGTGACGATGATGATGATGAGAAAAAATGCAGCACAAGAACACATAGACAAAGCACATCCTCTTCGACTTCATCTGCTACCCAGCCTTCCGCGACACCGACAAACCCACAGATCAGCAGCTCAATCATTCCCGCACCTACTTCCACACAGCAGGCTCCTCCACCAACGTTATCGCAAGCAACTCCATCGACCGTACCTGTAGCCGCTGAGCCCTCTTCGGCACCTCAAACGCCTCCAACATCGACTGCTCCCGTCGTAGTGATACCAACAACATCCCTCGAGACGAGTGTTATACCACTACCAACAGGACAAAGCTCAGCTCCAGCCGCACCGACGTCGTCAGCAGCAGCGGCTCCGGCGACAAGCACAGCACCTCCGCCAACGCAGGAAGCAAACTCAAATAATGCAGGGCGGACGGCTGGTATTGTTGTTCTCATACTTGGTGAGTCAGCCCCGTATCTCGACACACAAATGAAGCTATGACTAACCGTCACCACACTCAGCATTCTTCGCTTTCTTTGCCGGAATCTTCTTCCTTCGCAGGTGGCGAGCCCGACGTAAGCGCCGAACAGCAGAGAAGGCAAAATCAGTAATGGGCCCAGCCGGACCTCCAACAACTCCGCCATCACCTCCTCCCCGAACGACGAGGGATCTACCGCCGCTGACCTCGCACCCTCCGATGACATCGCTTCCACCACCGCCACCCATTCAAGGCTCCAGTCAGACACCCGCACAATCATCAAATACAGCAAGCTCATCGATGTACAGCAACACGGGGGTTGTAGGGAAGCGACCAGCACGTAACACACGCGCCATCTCCCAAGTGCCATTATCACAATCAGCACAAGTCACGCATACAGAGGAAGTCCCACGAGATGAGAAGCCTCAGGCCGCGTTCGGGATACCGACCTTCTTGCAATCTGCCATCAACCGCAGGGCAAGGAACGCAGAGCTGGCTCGAGCTAGGGTCGAGACCTGGCCTCCTCCACCTTACATTGGCACCAAGCAGCCACGGGCAAAGTCATTGAAGGGTTTGATGACAAGATCAAAGCCAGTGACATCAGTCTCCGAGTCATTGTCGCCAACATCGTTCCCAGGTCAGCGGACGTATTCAAGTACGTCCAGAGAGTCTTTAATATTGCCCTGGAGAAGCTCAATTGAGTCGGATATTTCGAGTCTCTCGAGCGGCTGGGGCGACGGACCTGCCATACCAACTCCTGTCCTTGTGAACGAAAGACCAACGGTTGACCGCAAGGTTTGGATTTCACCGGCGAGAGGGAGCGAGGTTGCCCATATAAGAGAAGTCCCGAGAGATGTTGTCTAATCTCTCATCAATCTTGGAATTTTAAGATCAGTGGATGATGAAAAGCACAGGCTATCCTATTGTATCTTGCATTGAAAGCGCAAAAGATTCATAAACATGGTATGCATCAACATTTGTCTCATCCATAAAAGAGGTAGAATAGTATGAGGGTTGCATGGATAGTTGCCAAGACACTCTCGCTAGACTTGACTATTCGAGTGCGTACTTCAAGAGCCAGCATACGCACCACGGCCCTGGACTGCACACCTCCTATCGCTATCAATGTCTCGTGACCTCTGAGGAGTTCTTAGCTTGGCCGACGTGATGCAAGGTGAGAGGACGCCTCTGGAAATCCGGATCCAAGACTTCCAAGGATACCAAGAAGACCAAGAGCTAAATGGACCAACCAGACCGCGTCCGTCGGTCGCAGACGCGTCAACCTCCTTCTCCCTGTGCTCCAGGCAAACCATCGAATCAACCTGCTGACGTCGTAGCGCGCCTGCCAAGGGGTGGGGAAATTACTCATCGGCACGACGCTGATATCGCCTATCGAGAAAATGCCAATTCGATGGGCCAGACCAAATGGTCGCAATGCCAGGATTCCGCCCCGCCGGGCAAACATCAAGATCTTGGCTCCGATCTTGGCACGCCGGCAGGCCCGTCAATCCAATCACTGTTGCTTCCCAGGCCCGAAACCTACGCCACGTCTTGGGGTCTTTAGAGCTTCTGGAAGGTCCTTATCATATCAAGGATATCCAAGACACTTGGCTGTCATGGTCGTGTGCGTATCTCGCCTGGGCTGACCAGCCTCTTGCATTTCGCTACCAACAGCAGTGAGATATTTCCGAGTTCACGCTAGACACAAGGGAAATTGTCCCCGGATTGGGTAGGGGATGATCGCTGGTGGGTGTCAATCTTGGCCTAGCACAAAGTAGAATAAGATATATGTTTGTGCTAGTCTCAATCACAACTCATCCCGTCCATTGTTTTTCTTCCGACGCACATATTACCTATCCTGTTTTGCTCTAATCGAGGTAGACTAGAACAACTTGCATGAGGTTCACTGCGCAAGAACGCTCCTTAGAAGTCACCCGCAGAGCCTCAATCATGGTCAACATCGCGTCGAGGATTTACAACTTCCTCGCCCCAGCCGCTAACAAGGGCGAAGATGGCCGCGACGTCTGGGGCTCGCGTCTATCCTTCATCTTTGCGGCAATGGGCGGTGCAGTCGGACTAGGAAACCTTCTTCGCTTCCCATCGATTGTCTACAATAACCACGGCTTACAATTCTTCATCCCATATCTGATTTCTCTCTTTTGCCTGGCGATTCCAACTTTACTCTTGGAAATCTCCATTGGCCAGGCATACCGAGGTGGATGTGTCTTGGCTTGGCACCATGCTCATCGTCGAGCGAAAGGTGTCGGATTTGGCGTTGTTTACATCGGTTACGCCATCTGCATTTACTACGTCCCCATCATAGCATGGATCATGTCCTACTTCCGTCATTCCTTCATCAGCCCCTTACCCTGGGAAGGACGGAATGAAGACTTCTTTTACGGCGACGTTCTCCAGAACGTGGACCCTATCCCGGGCAACCTCACTGCCGACGGATCCGCCGTTCAGGACTACTCAGATTACCCAGGTATGGGTATGAACACTGAAGTCACCTTGTGGAACCTTTTCACCTGGTTCATCGTTTGGCTTTGCATGTACAAGGGTGTCGGTCTCATGGGTCGTGTGGTTTATTTCACAATGGCTCTGCCAATCATTCTCATGATTGTCTTGATTGGGCGAGGCTGCTCTCTCCCTAATGCCATCAATGGCATGCGCATTTACTGGACCGAATGGCACGGGAACAAGCTCGCTTCAGGAACGATCTGGCAAGAGGCCTGCGGACAAGTATTTTTTTCGACAGGAATTGGGATGGGCTATTATACCTCATTTGCGTCATACAATCAGAAGTACTCCAACGCGGTCCAGGACGCACTCATCATCTGTATCTCAAACTCTCTGATTGAGATTATCGGTTCCATGTCAGTTTTTGGTGTTGTCGGATACCTCGGAATGCATCCGGACACTAGTGAGCGACTCAACACATTTGTCGTCGGTTTTCTGACCTATCCGGAGGCCATTGCGGAGATGCCAGGAGCCAACTTCTGGGGCGTCCTGTTCTTCGCTACTCTCTTCATCCTTGGCCTGGGATCCGCATTTGCACTCCTCGAAACCCTCGTCACCATGGTTTGCGACACTGACTGGGGCAAGAAATATCCCCGTCCGTATGTTTCGACTGGCATTGTTATCGCTTCCTTCCTCATCTCCCTTCCATTTTGCACCGAGTTTGGGTACTTCCTGGTTGATGCTGCCGATACCTGGATCAACTATTTGGCACTATTCTGGATAGTCTGGTGCGAGGCAGTTTGCGCGACGACTCTGTATCGATACCGGGATGTAGTGGACCAGTGTGGCCTTATTTCATGGTGCCTTTACAACATCTTCGGCTACATCGGAGGTACTGTGATCGGGCTTATTGTGGCGCACTCCGTTTCACCAGAGGCGGGTGCTGGTGTTGGCTTTGGCATGTTCATTGCCGGGATGGTATCCTCAGTTCTGTTCGCCTCTGACCCCACCGCATATTGCCCCCGGTTCCTCAACAAGAACGCGATGATGCGCAAGTTCTGGTACTTGACTTCGTATTCGGTAAGAGATGTTCCATGCTAATTAATTTACTGTCGATGGCTGATCACGTCGCTTTCAAGGGAAACCAACTTCGGCGCGATCTCAATGCGACGATTTCCACGAGTGGGCAGTGGAAGATACCTGCCATTTGGGGTTTCGTTCTCAAGTACAACACTGCCCCCATCGTCTCAATCATTTTCTCCTTCGCCTACCCAAACTTCTATGCCAAGAACCGTATGGATCCGCTTCACATCGCCGGCTTCACGTTTATGCACGTTGTGCTTGCAGCCACGCTGGTCGGCCTTGTGATGCCACGATGGTTCAACGTGCTGGTCCCGAAGACAAAGGTGACAGAAGGAGTTTATCCTGTAATGCCGGGCGTTATCTTTTCCAGGGCCAATGCTGCCGGAGCGCTGGATATTGACGGCGTTCCTCAGAGCGCTGATGGTTATGGGATCGATAGGAGAAACACAGAGCAACAGGCGTGGGGCCCAGATGGGAGCCAGGAAAAGGTGGCTGATGAGCGCCGACAAGCTGGAAGATCACTATCTAAGAGATTAAAATAGTTTTAGATAGACCTTCATTATGTCTCTGACACTATGCTTAGCACAAAACGACCGATGGATGTGCAATAACAGACGTTAGGAAGATGCTGTCACCCACCAACCTTTCAAACTCCAACCTTTCATCCTGAAACAGCCACATAGCGATTAGTTGCAACTTGAGGTATGAAATATGACAGATCGATCGCATTTCTCATGCTGTCTTTCATTCGGGACGACATGTTAGAGAGAAACCAGAGGCTAGGTTGCGTTGCTGAAGGCCCACAAGACGGAGCATCATGATGATTCATCCTCGCTCATCGACTCTCATAACCGACAGCATCCCGGATAGAACTTTTAACTTTCCTGGTTCGACGAACAATTCAGTACTTAGCTCCAATGACTCACTATTTACGGATTAAGACTCATTGTCGGCAGGTAATCATTGTTGTCGCCCTTATGGCCATCATTTCGAACTTCGTACCCGTGATGTTGTGTGTGTAGTACCTTATATCAAGTATCATCACCCCCAAAGAAACTTTCCGTGCAATTCATCCAGACACGCATATCCCAATGACCAGTGAGAGATTACCTTTTTCATCATCCGTGTTCGAAGGCCCCAGAGCAGTGACAAAAGATCGAGGCAAGTAACAACTTCACACTCACAACCCGCCCCCGAGTGGCATTTGACTGTAGGATGAGAGAAGTTTTGCCGAACGGAGTTCCTCGTAGTACGAGGCTATGAAGACCGTGAATAGTCGACATCGCCTGAAGTCATCGTTTACCAGATCCTGCTGGTTCCTTTCACTTTCTGAGCGGCGGATCTAACGTTAGATACCTATCTTTAGAAAGCACAGCTATGTCATCCGCGAGAATGAACTTAAAGGTAGGTCCGCTTGAATAAACTCTTTTCGCATATTGTTTAATGATGATTACCTTATCCCGGTCAGAACACATGACGACAAGCTATCAGAATTATACTGACACCACATTCAACAAACTTCAAGCATTGAGTCATCTCTGTTTTACTTCACAATATTGACTGCTGATATAGCTTAAGCATCAGATACAGACCCGTCTCTTTTCTTGACAAAATCCGTCTCGAACGATAAACCAGCTTCCTTGCGCAAGACTCCATACATCGACGACGAATCCAATGGCCGCCCCTGTGCATCTGAGAATTCTTTCGCTTCCTTCAAGTGTTTCAGTGCAACCTCAGCGACTTCTAGCGGAGCGCCAGACTTCTTAGCACAGTCGATCCCGTGTCCAACATCCTTCAATGCGAGACCAAGGTCGGACCACGGTCTTTGGCCTTTTCCGGGGAGGTAAGCGCCGGTTGTCAAACGTTTCGACATTGACAGTGCGAGAGGGCCATATTGCTGCTCTATCAGAGCTTCCATAGCCTCGCTACCAAGGCCCGTCTTCTCCGCAAAGACATGGGCCTCTGCGACAAGCTCCATCATCCCGGCGGTAACAAAATTCCTAGAAACATCAGCATGTAGCACGCCTTTGCGAAAGATCATTCATTCACTTACCCAGCTGTCTTCATCATGCTAGACTTTTGAACATCCTCTCCGAGACGAATCACTCCTCGCCCCATCACTCCAACGATGAACGGGTTGATTGCGTTGACTGCATCATTCGGACCCGCAACAATCCAGAGCAACTTCCCCTCCGCAGCAACAGGACTTGCACCGAAGACCGGGGACGCAATGAACTTGGCCTTCCTTTCTAACAGACGGTCTCGGGCTTTGGCTGATGAAAGAGGGTGAACCGTCGATGTGTCAACGACAATCTTCTCGGCCAAATTTTCGGGTGCGACGTTTCCAAGGATGGCATCCAGCATCGACTCAAGAGCGGCATCGTCGCTGAGGGACATGAATATTATGTCCGAGTTGGTCAAGAGATGTTTGATCTCTGGTCGCGGTATGCCTCCGATACTCTCAAGCGGCTCACCTCGAGACATCGTGCGATTGTGGTACTGTAGACTCGGTGCGCCATTTTGTGCCAGGTGCTTCTGCAAATTTACGGCCATGCCAATGCCCATGGATCCGAGGCCTACCGTAAGTCAGAAATCAGTCATAAACGTCTAGTCGCATCGGGTATCCAAGTTGATGCCGCATCAACGGTCTAAAGGACCTACCTATCCACCCCAGACGTGGGTGCGGGGTCGACGGAACGGAGGTGGTAGTCATGCTTGCTAGATGACGCAATTCAACTCCAATTGATATGCGGTAAATGAAAGGAGGTATGAAACATTCGGATTCGAAGTGAGATTCTGTGATCGTGAAAGTGAGAGTACCGAAGTGTGAGTCAGATTCATAGCTGCAACCATGAACCAACTGTGGACGAACCTGCCGGCCCCACTTCGGCCTCTAGTCCGTCGGCACTGAGATCCGAAACTCCAGTGCTCCGCTGTCGGCTGCCTGGTGTTCGGGAAGAATTTGAATTATTTACCGAAAAGTTGGGAATATCACCACGTGCATAGAAGCGGTATCAGAGGAAACCTAGATTAATGCCTTAAGGATGATGTCCTTCAGGCACCTCGTGAGACTTAACTAATATGAGCAAGGGCGCAACGTAACGGTGTTTGAAGGACCAACAACCTCTCTGTCGATGGTAAAACACCCAACAACCCTCCTGTATTTTCAGCTGCAACGCATGTGAATGCGCCCAAAGAGTTCAACCATTCGATATGATCTTTTTGGGTTCTGTCCTCTTCGCAGTCGCCATCTTCTTTGCAGGAAAGATGTTTCGGCCTTTCTCTACGACAGCAAGCCGACCGACCTTCTTGGATGACGACAGCGAAGAATCTGGTTATTTTGATGATTGCAGGATGCATCCTTCGTTGGAAAGGGGTACCTTCGCACAGAGCTCGGGTCAGCATACTCTTTCACAATACAGCCTAGCACTGGCGGCTTCTACTTCATGGCCTGCGGCGGCGCGGAACTTGAATTCCTCGGCTTCAGCCGGTTCGGCACCAACCCATGAGCTGACGATTCAGCCGATGAAGACGTTCACTGCGCTAGGATGCACAAGTTGGGCGCAACCTTGTACTCGAGTGATTGGAAGTACTCCACAATGCACAACTCGATGATCAAGGATTCCGAACAGGAGGATCTGAGTTAACCGGCTGTTTGGCTGACCATTAACCGGCGGGGGCTGGGCTCACAGTATCGCCGCATCGGAGGCGTATGCGGCAGGTGTCGGCCGTATCAGGAATGCATTCACCTTGGACGAACGATGTCGAGCGATTCAGAAAATGAGGGGGGGGGGGGGGTATTCTACACAAACCTTAACCATTGCCCGGGCCTGGATCTAGCGTCATCAGGGGGCCGACCTCAATATCCTTTCGCGTAGATCATGACTGAGCTCTTTGCCGTCCGTTAACGCTGCCGAAAAAGCGCACCGGGGTCTGACATCACAAGTCTTAAGAGAAACGAGAGTGGGGGACAACGTCGGCGTCAAGTCGTCTGGCCCTTGTGATGCATATACTTCAAATCCTACATCCAATCATAAGCTCTCGTGACTCGCAAGTTTTCCTTGGTCTTGCGTTCTCTATTATAATGGAGGTGATCTACAGTGTTATCACCTCGAATTGGCTCTAATGTTACTCCGGCGGTCACCAGGACCAGTCCCAGCTCGAGCCTCCGCGTCGTCAGGCTGCTGACCATGAGCATAGCAGCCTGCCGCCCACCCGTTGGTGACGAGGTCTTTTTGACTATCATCATCTTCCACTGGCATGACGTTCATCTCGATCGATCTGTGAACTTGGATCTCCATTTTGCTACCATCCTTTCCACTCTGCGAGAAGTTCCCCGTTCGCTTGTCGAAGCTTCGAAGAGGAAGGTTTCCAGTGGTGCTACGTCCGTAGGGATTCTTCGAATACTTCTTGTATGTCCCAAGCTTTGGGATGATCTTGATGAAAAGTGCCTTTAGTGCAGGTACTGAGGCGCAAATAATGGCAATGTTGATCTCAAGACCAGACCAGACGGCAATGTCTACGCCAACGACTGCAGACTGTCAGGGGCTTGCCATAGTAATGGTCAAACGAGAGGAGAACTCACGTGGTTGTTGATCAATAGGTGCTGAGCCGTGCACATACAACGAATGAAGCCTGACGATGGCCACAATGGCAGCGCTGTCAGATATGTGTTAGCCGACCCACATTCAACATTCATCGTCACGGTGAATAACTCACAAGGCGCCGCAGGTAAACACTCCGATAAGCACAAGCTTCGCCCGGAAAGTGACTTGCAGATTCTTGAGCCACGGGATTGGTATGAACAGGATGATGAGATCGTTGAGAATATTGAACCCAGCAATGGCGTAGTTCAGGGCTGAACGCTCGATGCAGCCTCCCTCAATTGAATCATCCCAGTATTTTGCTACGGGCCAACAAGTGAAGATTGTTGTACCCAGGCAGAACGCTGCATACGCTCCGAGCCATATAATCAGCCCTGTGATAATTCTCTTGGCTCCGTCGGTTCGAAAGATTCGGCGATATTGGAAGAGGATCGAGAACTTGACGCAGAGCTGGGTGAAGTTGTACAACACCACGGTCGCATAGAGAGCTCGAAGGAATTCGACCAGTTCCTCGAGGCCGATAGCATCGCCGAGTCCCCACTTGATCTCTGCAACAAGCAGATTAGCCAGAATCATGCCTCTTTGAGGTCGGCAATACTTACGCTGAATGATAGTCACCAGATAACCAATAGTACCGATCTATGGATCATATCCAATATCAGTGCCTGCCAATACCAAGTAATCAAAATCATGCGGGAGGAGGACTTACAAAAGCGACTATCATCAAGATATCGTCAGCCCCAACATTCTTGACGAGAACAGCGCGCGTGTATGTTCTCATCCCAACCACCAAGGCCGCCATGGTCGTGAAGAAAAACGACGAAAAGACCAAGCCATAGTTCCGGGGCACAATCGGCACGCCTCCAACGTCCCACATCTTGAGCCAACTCCAGCAGGGCTCGACAATATCTTCCACGGCCGGTCTTCGATTACGAATGTTGCAGCACGGACGAACAAGCAAGTGCCAACATCTCCACAGAATGATAACAGGCAAACTTCGGAATCAAGTAGAAAGCAAATAAACCAGGAACCGGGGAAGACAGTAGAACCTCCGATGTAAAAGGCAGGGGCAATCCGGCCACGTCATGTACACCAGGTAACGCAGCAGTGCAATTCTCACACCGGCGCACTATCACTATGGGAAAAGCATTCACCTTCTCCACGAACGTGCAGCTTTCAGTCACACTGCCCCTGACAATGGGGGCCGCGGGTGTTCTTCAGGAGGATTCCTTGCATCTCGTCTGCATCCTACCGGAACTGGTTTTGCCCATTGCGGCTTCTCTGCCATCACTTCATCTTACAGAATTTGATTGACTCGGTTGGAGATGGTGCTGAACTTGGAACATCGACCCAGCGGTTATCACACGCTTCATGTGGCAAGGGAGCCGGACCAGTCTGCCGCCAAGTCCTTCGAGAAAATTTCAAATCAGCACATCTAGACTCGAACGCCGCACTATTGCGCCGTGTTGCAAGCCCACATCCCGCAGATTCAAGATGTTGGGTGAATCATCGTACACAGTGTGCCGGGTTCGGGATTTATACTGAGAGTAGGGGCAGGCATGTTGCAACGGGTGAGCCCCGTAATGCGGGTGGGAGAGATCAAGGGTCTGGTGAATTTCCTTGACGCTGGCGAGATTAGGTCATGTCGACATGTGAACAAGCGCGGTCACATGGAGACTGGCGTGAATCTCCTACATCTTTCGCGCTTCGATCAGTGGACCAGATCTGAATCTCTTGGTACTAAGAGCCATCTCACTAGTTGCTGATCTTACTATTACTGATATACCTTGGAGAATGAAGACCGAATTTTAGCTGAGAAAAGTCTCTAGTGCTAATCGTGAACAGCCAATCGGGCAAGAAAAATATTCATTGATCTTGGTTCCAGATAATGTTTGGGGTGACTTGTGGCAATTGTAACTCGGAATTTCCTGCTGCAGAACAGTTCGTCGTGTCACAGTTTAGCGAGGAAGCCCGATACAGTACCCAACGAGAAACCAAAAAGAAACGTAACAACCACGCCATTGTTTTCTTCATGCATCAATCAACACAATAGCCGAGGCGTTCAGGCGTGGGAAAGGTGCAACATACGGCGCAGCAGGTAGACGACTGGCACTGAATCTGCCGCTGGCTCTTTTAGGCAAAATCTCAAAACTTTTCACCCTGGAACCAACCGAATCCCACTATCACGGAATAAGTTGACACCCTCCTTCATCATACGATAACTCTTACTTTTCTTCTCCAGCAACGTGACCGCGGGGGGGACTGGAGTTGGCGTTGAATCTTACCCCGGCTCCAACAACATTTTGCCCCTGTCATCATATTGACGGATCACCCGCGATTGGTTCGATCCTCCTCTGCCACCTTCGCTTTTAGTGACAAAAATTTCGCAAGCTTCCCGTTCGGCGATGGGGATCCGGGCTAAACGAGCCCGGCGGAGAAACCCTACAGCGGTACGAGAAGCAGGGGTTCAGACCGGTCCCTTGCCGTGCTAGTGCCAACGACTTTGACCGGTGTGTGGAGTGTGGGCGGACACCCGGCGTTAACCTTGGCAGACATGCTTATCTCGACTTTGCAGCACACCTTTTGGTGCGCTTTGCTCGGAGAGGGTGTGCTCATTACCGACGGGACGTGAAGCCGCGCGCCGAGAATGATGGTTTAGGACGGGGAAAGCCTTCGAAGGAGGCCTTGGCTGTTTAGAAAAGTAGAAGATGGTGTGTACTGTGAAACCACAGCAGGAGTCAAGAATCGCTGAATCATCAATAGTAGCTCAAAAAGGCTCAAAATAATGAATGTGGACGTTTGTGATCTGAATTAGATGCATAATCTACATGTTTAAACTCTAAGGGATATGTATGTGGGAATTTGAAAAAGACTTTGACAACCCGATCCACGAGCATTTCAAGCTACATAGGTCTTAATGACTGCTGGTTTCATGCGCTGACACTGTACACGCTAGCTTCCTCCTTCTCTAGGGGTGCATCAATATGGTTGTTAAACTCCTTCTTGGGATCAAAAAGGAAAGCAGCAGCTGGATAATTGTCAGTCAAGTGGCCATGACAGTGATATTCAGAGGCTAGAGACATACCAATGACAGCGAGAGCAACAAAGCAAGCTGCAGCGATCCAGACTTTCTGGAACGAAGACACATAAGTGCTGAGCAGAGCGTTTGCTGCCTTCTCAATGATTGTGGGAGTGATGCCTGGAATACTGCCGAGAATCTCGTTGTCGTGAGCGGTAAGACCACCGATGAGCATGCCCAAGTTCTCCGGGTTAAATCCGGAGGGTATCACAGCCTTCGCGATGTTCTCAGGCATGTGACTCATGCTATCGTTGAAGATGACATTGTAAATGGCAATTCCGATCGTGCCACCAAGGGATCGAACGCTGATGATGAGACCACTGGCGATGGCGATTAACTCGGGCGGGATGCAAAGCTGAGCGGCGGTGATCAGAGTAGTCAGGGTCATGCCGAGGGCGAAACCAAGGAGGACGGGGTAGAACCAGACGGGATTGCTGGAGCCTTGGTTCGTGGTCGCCATGCAGGCGAAAAAGACGACGAAGATAATGAAGGCGCCAACAGTCACCCAGCGCAGGCGATGAGTTCTCGCGCAGTACCAGCCGCAAAGGACTGAGCCGATCATAGATGCGATAGACATCAGAGCGTAGCGGGTGCCGACGAGGACCGCATCGGTCTCATACAGAACGCTAACCTGGAAGGCAAAGTAGGTGTTGGCAGCAAAGAAAGCAACTCCTTCCGCAAACACGCAAAACATGACGATGGAAAAGTTGCGGTTCTTGGTGAAGAGACCGTGATGGAACATGCCGTCTTTCTTGAACCAGATCTCGTAGACAACCATCATCAGAGCGAGAGCAACGCCCACGGCGAAGGTCGCAGAGACGTGGGGATCGGACCATTCGTAGGGGTTCTTGGACCACGACAGACCCAAGCAAAACAGTACAAGGCCGGAAGCTAAGAAGAAGTAGCCAACCCAATCCAACTTTGCAAGCTTCTCCGTCAAAGTGAGACTCTTCTGAAGAGGGCGGGGAGGGGGATTGTAGACGGCAATACATAGGATGGCAGACACGGCGTATAGAGCCAAAGCCATGTAGAAGTAGGATCGGAACCCATCAGATGCCGGGTTGTTGGTTCTGTTGAAGGCACCGCCCACCAGTAGACCGAGAATGCTACCGAGACCATTTGAGATCATGTCGGATGCCTGTCCATACGCGCGCCACTTGCGAGGCAGTACCTCTGAAGATACTGTATGAAGCAGAGGCTGGGCGCCAAAGGCCACGCCGATGATGCAGAACCCAGCAATGCACATCTCGATACTCGTTGAGCGGGCGACGACAATAGAGCCAATCGCGCCGAAGAAAGTCGGGATGACGATGAACCATTTACGACCCCAGTAATCCGCTGCTTGTGAGAAAATGGGTCCGAGAACAACGGTCATGATGGTGATAACTGCCGAGAGCCAACTCGTCTTATCTGTGGCACCAAAGTGACCCGCGATGGTTTGGCCTTGCTGTAAGACATCTCACGTCAGTTGCCGTTGCATTGGTGTGAGGGGTAGTAGATGTTGTGCAACTTACAGCACCGGCGCCAATAAGACTGAATAGTTGCGCGAAGTAGATCAAAGCCACTGCAAAAACAGCCAGGAAAGTCTTCGCGTGAAGCTTAGGCTCGGGCTCATCGGAAACCTGGCTGCCATCTGATGATCTGGGGGCAGGCTTCTCGGTACTACCGACGACGACAGCGTCGTCGGTTGGCTTCGCCATGTTGGTATTTTCCGCGGACATGTCTGCCAGAGATCGCGGGAAAGGTCGGCTGTGATGAAGTTCGGATCACCGCATAGATACGCGAGAGAACTGGACGAGAAGAAAGCTCAGTCAAAGTGACTGGCTGGACGAAAGAGTTGTTTAGAGAGGTGCAGATCTATGAGAAAAGAAATGGCGGCACAGCCAAAAGGGAGGTCGAAGTACTAATACGCACCACTCCGAGATGATCGGCAGTCTGTGTTCACAGGGAGTTCGGACGTCCGTGGGCATATTTTTTCAAGACATCTGGGACGGACGAATCAACACGTCTAAAACCCTTCGTTCGTCGCCTGTTGCATGATCTGGTGAACCCTTCTGCCGGCCGAGGTAGGACTTGACCACTGGTTCCACTGGCAATGTACACTGACCTGTGAACCTGGGACGAAGACGTTGGTGCGTGGCGCATCGCAGTTCTACGTGTGGTCTAGCCCTGAGAGTATCGTCTCAATCATTTGAAGGGGTACTCCGTGTGATGATACTGTGGTAGCCATCGCCCGTTGGAGAACCTGGAACGACCAGGGTATGTACACGTAAGAGGCACAGCACCCGGATGAAGGTTCGAAAGGGTTATGAATCCCGTAGCAACATTATTTCTCTACCATCAGATCTCCAACAAGCTCGCTGCTCAGACATATCCAGACTGTACTTTAATTCAATCTTCAGTGCAAGCAAGACCCATCACACGCCATCTAAAGCCCTCCAACATCAACGATCAACCATTGTGCCTTTCTTCAGGACATCCCACAGCAGAACTGACTCGAGCGGGTGTGTCTACAAGGATCGGCCCGCTGGTCCTTGGCTTCCCGAGACCCCTGAACAGACGGCAAGGGCGCACGGCCTCAACGTTATTAGGCGGATCTCGACCCATGAAAAGGCCTCGGCGCTGAAGGGCATGCCAGAGATGATGTGTTTGTGGCCAGATTCACTTTTAGCGTGCAGAAGGGAAGCTGGGGTAACGCTAACTCTGTTTCTGACAGTTTTCAACGACAGGCAGAATCTACTTCGTCGTTCCATGTTTGCTCGTCGATGGTGAAGAACAAAAAGAAGACAGCGTTGCGGGGGAAAACCGAGAATCCCCACTAGAGTTCTGCACGAAATCGGAACTCGGACATGACGTTACCTAACATGCAGCTATCACCGATAGGCCGCAGCGATGTGTTGACTCAAATTCACTGGCTGCATGTGAAACGCGTAACTTGCGTTCTTCTCATACACCACAGCCTACCAATGAGCAAATTTTGCCTCCATGTTCGATATTTAGGGCGGGCGTGGAGCTCTAACAAGCGAACACCCATTCCACGGAGCCATGTCCAATAGGGACCCCAGGCGAGATATCCGGCCTGTCGCCGCTGTGGGACTCATTTGGACAAACCCGGTTCTGGTCCTGGAATAGCGCAAGGTGTCCGGTCTGGAGCGCGCAGAATAGCTTGACCAACAAATATGGACGGGATGCCGACGGAAGACTTGGAGCCTCATCTCTTGCCTTTCTCGAGTAAGGCCGTCTTGCCGCCCCCTTGCATGGGCGAATAGAACGATGAACGCCAGTTCAGGAACCGAAATGGCCCGAAGAGCCAAGATACGCTTCGGAACAATATCCCGCCCACATTACTGAACATTGAACCAACACGAGCGACAGCCATGAACACTCTGGCCAGTCGGAACGAATTAGCACCGTCGTATCGGCGAGCTTCCTAAAGCTGTCATCACTGGGGATTCTGGATCCTGAACTTTTCCAGGTTGACAGCGAGAACTCCTTCTTTCACACCTTTGAGAAGTTCCCGTAATTACCACCAATGGCCTCGTTCTGCGAGATCCATGCCCCCATGAAAGAGCGGGTTGCCTTCAATTTTCTCGCGCTTTTGGTGGAGCAAACGGAGATACACCCTGACTGACGAAGCATACATCTGTGGCTTTTGATGTTGCGTATTCTCCTCGCTCTGTCGGTTGTGAGGAGAGATGATCCCCCCTTCATTTTCATCCCAAGAACCATCGCAAACTCACGCACGACCTCATTTGCATCGGAAAGCCACCAATTGCGTAAGGTGACTGACTGTTGGACGCCGTCTTCATATTTCCTTCCCTTCATCATCACCCAGCCATGCTTGACATCGTCATTATCGGAGCAGGCATCGCGGGCCTCTCCGCCGGAATCTCGCTTCGCCGCGCGGGCCACAAGGTGCACATCTACGAGCGATCCGCGATGAACAACGAAGTGGGCGCCGCCATCCACGTCCCTCCGAATGTCGCACGCTTCCTTGTCCGCTGGGGTCTCGACCCCGAGGCCGCTGGCTTCGTCAAAGCTGGCCCGATTGAGTTCAAGGACCCTGTGACCCAGGCGACCACGATGGCCATGTCGCATGCCCAGAACAACGAGCGTTACGGCGCCGATCTGTGGTACGCGCATCGCGTCGATCTGCACGACGCTCTGAAACAAAAGGCGACGGATCCGCTGGGGCCGGGCACTCCCGTGACGATCCATCTCAAGTCATGGGCTGTTGAATACGTGAGCTCCCTGTTGTGTTCCTGTTGAGCTGCTGTAAATGTGTGCTGCGGCTTCTCACTCCACAATAGACTTACATGTACACCTTATAGAACCCCGAAGTCCCATCGGTGCTGCTGAACGATGGTCAAGAGATAACAGCGGACTTGGTCATTGGCGCTGATGGAGTTCACTCCATTGCCAGCGAGACTGTGCTTGGCAGGAAGAACCCTCCCGTTCCTGCGGGTCATTACAACTGCTGCTACCGTTTCCTGATCCCAAAGGACGTTCTCGAGCAAGACGAGGAGACCAGATTTTTCAACGAGAATTCGGACAACCTTATCCGCCTCTACCCTGACCACGCGACGAGTCGACGGCTTGTCTCCTACCCATGCCGCAAGTAAGTATGCAACCCAGTGGGATCAGAATATTAGGTCTGATGTCATAGGAACACTATCCATAACTTCGTCGGACTTTTCTACGATGAAGAGATGAAGTCGGTAACCAAGGAGGGTGAGTGAATCGACAAAGAATCGCGCTGCTCTGTGATGTTAAACACGCTTATCGTCTCAGACTATCATGCCGACTTCGACAAGAATGTTGCGCTCGAGCGGTTCGACGGATTCCACCCTGGTCTCAAGGCCGTTATCAAGTGAGTCTTCCGATCAAGGATGGTGACTAGAGCTTCGCACCTTACTAAACCAAACACAGCAAAGCAACAGAGATCAAGAGATGGCCGTTGCTGTACCGCGCTCCTCTGCCAACATGGCGCAAGGGCAAGTTGGTCCTGGCTGGTGATGCGGCACACCCAATGCTACCTCGTGAGTTCGATCATACCTTTCTCTTGCAGGCTCTTACTGACAAGTCGAAGATCAGGGTCAAGGCGGTGCCCAGGGAATCGAGGACGGTGTTGCTCTCGGCATCATTTTCTCCAATGCCACAGATTCCTCTCAGGTCGAAGAGCGGATGTCACTATACGAGAAGCTCCGCCGCGGTCGTGCCAGTGCCATTCAGATTCTCAGTAACGTGGGTATTGATGAGGCGCACAAGGTCAAGAAGGATCTTATGAAGTTCTTGAATGAGGAAGACATCCCTAGTGAGTCGAGGTTATCATCCTGGAAGAAAGCGGCACTAACCATGGAACAGCGGATCACCGTGGAATCATGTCTTTCACTTACAGTTACGACGTCATCAAAGAGGCTACTGAGGTCATGAAGAAGTTTGATCATGGCTTCGCCTTGCCTCCGAACTTCTTCGATAACGTGGAAAAGACAGAAGACGAGAGAAGCTCGGTCAAGCTTGAGACACAAGTTCGAGTCAATGCACAGCCGATCGCAGCATGAGATAATTCGACGATATGAGGTCAAGGTGATTGGACATTGGAAAGTAGTGAGCTGATCAGTGTAGCAGCTACGTTGGGAAACATTCATAAGCTCTGTAACGATTGACCTCAAACAACTCGAACTTATGTCCCTTGGGCAACAGAGTAAACGTAATACAAACAATGCAAGCATCGACCTTCGATGTAGCGGAACTTTTAGGACGCTTTGTAACCACGATCTTCTTCGAGTCGCCATTATTCAACTCCACACATCCTCAAACCATCTCTTTGACCTCTTTCTTTCCTGTCTCCAGCTTTCCACTTCATCATCTTCCCATTCTCGTGTCACCTTAACTGTCTCTCTCACGACATTTCCAACGGCCTTGGCCATGTTCGCGGCACCACAAATGTAAAATGCAGCATCCTCATCCAGCAACAAGCGACCAAGATCCTTGCTTCGCTCCTGAAGCCGATGTTGTACGTAGGTCTTCTGACCGTCCGCCCGTGAAAATGCTGTAACGACCTCGAGCTTTCCAGCCAAGGCTCCCTCCATCAACTCAGAAAGCTCGTCTTTGTAGAGATAATCCGACTCATTCTGGCAGCCAAAGAACAAGACCATCCTTCCAATCTCCTTACCAACAGATGCAAGCCGGGCGCGTTCCTGTACAAAAGCTCGGAATGGTGCTATGCCGGTGCCGGCGGCAACCATCACCAGCGGCACAGAAGGGAGGATAGGAAGCTTGAAGGATGATCCGCGGATCTGTGCATGAACTTGAGACATGTTGATCAAAGCTGTCTCAGGAGACCCGGGCCTGTCTGGCTGAAGGCGAGATAGATATGTGCTTGCAAGGCCCGCGATAGTGACATCTGGCTTGGCTGCCAACTGGGAAGGTTTGACCGAGACAGTGAGACTGACGTGGCGAGGCGAGGTGATCCTAGAACTTGAGATAGAGTACAGACGTGGCTGCATCGCTGGTAAGAAGTCGATCATGAATGACAAGGGCAGGTTTGTCCACGTGGCTGACGGATCAACGGTAAGGGTATGCTTGAGAAGCCGGGCGAGAGTAAGATGGTTTTGTTCCAGGAAGGCTGCGTAAGTCTCTCTGTCATGGCCAATCGTCTTGAGTTCGGTCTTGACCTTATCGGTAGACGCAAATTGGACCAGGGATAGGACTGTCTCTCGTGGAACAGCTGCGCAAATCTCAAGGTAATGCTGGCAGAGTGCCTGAATTGTGGTTGGGCTTGGTACTTTGGGCTCTTCCTCGGTGGCCTTGCTGATGACCTGAATCGACTCGTTCCTTCTTGAGTCCAACCCCAAAATCTGGGTCAAAGACTGGACCTCCTCAGTCGGGTTGACAGGCCAGATGGCAATGTGGTCTCCAGTTTTGTACTTGATCTCAAGGTGACTCGACAAGTCCACCTCCAGATCGATGACGCTATGTCCTTGGCCATCGTGTCGCGCAAGCTCACGTTTGGCTCTGACAGGCAGTGCAGCGATCTCAGAGTTGAGGGTCGTGGCCTTCTTCGATGTTGCTCTGTAGAAAGGCTTCCCGACATGAAGTTTGCTTTCGACAACCTTATCGACAATGACATCGACGCTGGGCTCGTACTCGACATCGTACTCCTTGTAGGCAAAGTCATTCACAAGCGTCTTGAAGAGGCTCTCTTTCCAGTCCATGAAGTCTTCCTCAGTTGTTCTGGTGGCTTCGTTGCCCTTGCCAGTGGGCAGAATTGCCGTGGCTCGGAAGCTCGTGAGGGCCGTCACAACATCGTCAATGACTTTGTTGTAGAATCGATAGTTGCTGTTACCACATCCAAAGGCTGCGTACTTCAGGTGTTCAAGAGAAACGCCGGTCGTTCTGGAGGACCAACTGACAAAGTCCTGAGCGTTGTCGCTGGGGTCACCTTCTCCGTAGGTGGACATGATGAAAATGCAAAGCTTCGACTCCGGTATGAGAGCGATGGTCTCAGCGTCATAGTCTGACAGATCCGCTACAAGAGCATTTAGCTTGAAGCGTTGGTGGAATTCACGGGCGAGACGGTGGGCGAAGCCTTCGGCCGTGCCAGATTGGGAACCCCAGAAGATAACCAGGTCAGATCCGAGTTCTTGAAATTTCTCTGCGATGTTTCTGGTCCGTTTAGTGAGAGTGACATTGCCGCCCATAGCCTCCTGGGGCTTCCAGAACCATTTTTGGTCATACGGGTCAGTCTTGGGAATGATGCTCCCTCTGTTGAAGACGAAGAGGGATCCCAAGATAACGAGTGGCAGGAGAAGGTAGTCATCGTAAGATGCCTGCTTCGACAAGGTGTCAACAGCATCCATCAAAATCTGAATTTGAGTATTGTTGTAAGTAAAAGACGTGGCCATGTTGAAATCCGTGCTTTGCTCGTAAGGGAAGCTGGATGGCAGTAGTCGACGAAAACGAGGGAGTTGCTGTCAAACTTCTGGCACCAAGGGGAGAATTCTCTGGTAGCATAACTTTATCGATTCTTTCCAAAGTAGATACAAATGAGAAACACTACGCAACATCACGATCACTTTCCGAACACCGAGATAAGCCACCACGAGTTCAATCACTGAATTATGATATTCTAAGGCCTTTTACACAAGTGCTGTTTACCAAAATGGCAGTCTTTCGCCGGTTTTCACTCCAGGACGTCACGTCGATCTATTATGAATGTCACTCCAGACCCGAAACCGTACCCCAACCCCACGGGGAACATGACTTCCCCGCATGCGGGGTCCGTCAGCCGCACATCGATCGGACTTGGCTTCAAGAAGGGTCGACAATATCTTGGGGCATTCGCTTCAAATGGAAGGTATCCGGCGAATTATTTACAAAGGCAGATACTTAAGACACGGATACCGAGCTTTCGGCGAATTATCACCAGTTTGAATACGAAATTGAGTGGCATCCTTCATCCGTTGTGGCTTTCTGACGTGTGACCCTACATTTTGCTCGGTAGCCGATCTCTTTGATCGACTGGCAAGACAGTTCCCCGCGGATTATGCATTAGCATCCAGTCCCGCGGGCTCTGGGAACGAAATAGGATAGAGCCCAGCCTGTGAAGGGTGTTGAGGATACTGTAGGATTATTGGATATGACTGTGTGTAATCTTTTCACGAAGATTGAGTATAAGACTCTTGCTCACGATGCCACTTTTTGAAAACAACAGCCCATAGACTTCACTTCGACCTCGTTGATCCTGAAAGTCATCTTCACTTAGATCCTGAAGTCAAAATGCTGGGCTTTATCGCCGCGGGGCTTGCGGCCCTCGCCGCCATTTCTTACCTCGTCATTCGACCTATCTTCCTCTACTTCTACGACTCCAAGGGTCTCCGCAAATACCCCAATTATTCTCCCTTGTCACCATTTACAGACTTGAGGCACTGCTATCTCACAGCTCAAGGCTTCCGTTCCAAGGAGCTTCATCAGAAGCATCAGACAACAGGGCTGCCAATCTTGAGAACTGGTCCTAATGCCCTATCCTTCGGCGACACCCGGGCCATCAAAGACATCTACGGTCACAGCACCAAGTGCGTCAAGGACAACAATTACGTTGTTCTTAGCGGGAGCCACAGGCATCTCTTCGATGTTGTTGACAAGCCGGAGCATGCGCGAAAGCGCAAGTTGTTGTCGGCTGCTTTCGCCATCAAGAACCTCGAAAAGTGGGAGTACAAGGTCGCCTACACTGCAGAGCGCCTATTCAAGGCATTCGATGAGAAATGCACCGAGCCTTTGAAAGGCACCATCCCTGAGCCTCAGGATCTCACCATCGACTTCAACCACTGGATCAACCTCTGGACCATTGAAGCCATCAACTTCATCACCCTGTCCTCGAAGATGGATCTCCTTGATACCGGAACGGATGTTGTCACCGCTGAAAGGCGCGATGGCAGCACATACAAAGCTCGCTACCGCCACTCTCAGAATCAGACAGCAATTGCCCAAGCGGTGTTCGTTTGGGACTACAACCTGTGGCCTTGGATTGAGTGGATCACAAAGTCTGTGCCCAGCAAGTATAAGAAGATTTGGGAGGACGGCAAGCCCTGGGATGATGTGTATTACCACGCTGCTGCTGAGCGCCTGCGCAAGTACCAAGCCGGTGAAAAGCTGGACGACTTCTTTTCTTGCATGATGGAAGACAAGACTGGCTCTCCCAACAACCTTGACTGGGGTGAGCTTGTCGCCGAGGTCGGCGCCATCATCAACGCTGGATCAGACACCACAGCCATCGCCTTGACGCACATTCTGGAGCTTTTGATCCAGTATCCGGAGTACATGGACAGACTTCGCAAGGAGGTCGACAGCGTCCTAGAGCCTGAAGAGGTGATCGCTCCCTACGACAAAGTCAAGGACCTTCCATTTCTCAAGGCATGCATCGACGAGGCTCTCCGCTTCATCCCGCCTACATCAGCTCCACTGCCTCGTCGCACGCCTCCAGAGGGGGCTCGCATTCTGGATGAGTGGATTCCTGGCGACACCAGTGTATCGATGACTATCTATGGAGCGCACCGAGATCCGAAAATCTTCCCTGATCCGGAAACCTTCAAGCCGACGAGGTGGCTGGACTCTGAGGATCGGAAGCGCATGGAGCCGTACTTCATCCCTTTTTCGACGGGGGCGCGTGGGTGCATCGGCCGGAACATTTCGTATTTGGAGCAGATTATGATGCTGGCCTCATTGGTTCATCGGTATGAGTTTGCTTTGCCTTCTCCTGATTTCAGGTTGGAGAGATTCGAGGCTTTCAACATTATATGCGGGCCTATGCCAATTAAGATTTGGCGAAGGAAAATCGAGTGATGTGTTGAAGCCACATCTTGCTTAGACTGAAACCAAGTAGCTATTTGAACAACCACTATAGCGATACGATTATTCTTTGTGAGAGCATATACTTCCAAATGGCGACTACCCTTGCGTATGCTGAGATTCGATTCTGAGTGCTGAGCTAGTGTTCTTGCTGAACTATAGTCATCAGCAAGTTCTACCCAGGTTGAAATAGTTACTGATAATGGCAGCGCTGCCGTTAAAGCCAATAAATTAAATAACGCCAAGATTTGACTGATTTGATTGCCCCTACGCCAGTATTGGTTGATTTGCCCTGTTGGCCAATATAACAAAGCAAATCCATAGAACACGTGACTCAAAGCCGCC